TGTCGACGGCAGAAGGCAGAACAAATCTTCTGCTGCACGTTTTGCTGTACAGACCCAAGCACTTGTGGCTGTCCCCGGAACGCTGCCAGAGGATTAGGTTCCTTTTCCCATGTCAAACATGTCCAAGATGAAGCCAGAGTTCATCTTCGCCTGTGTAACCTGTTGGCCAAAATTCAGCTCCAAGAAGGAAGACACATTCACCTGGAAAATCCTTGGACATCAAGTATGTGGGATCAAAAGGAACTTCGAGAGTTTCTGCAGTCAACCGTGGCAGCACGTTTGGATCAGTGCATGTTTGGTTTGAAACACCCAGAAACTGCAGAGGCTATGCAAAAGAAAACACGTGTTCAAACATCTTCCCGACAGATGTTTTTAGCACTAGATCAGAGGGTTTGCAGTCATGACCACAAACATGTACAGATTGCCGGATCCTGCCACTGGAGGGGTAAAACCATACCACTGTCACAGTTTGCGGGGAACTATCCTAAGCAATTTGCCAAAGCCATTATTAAAGGGGTAATATCATGTAAAGAAGGTCCCATAATATGTCCAGCCTATCATATTGAAGAAGATGAAATACAAGAACCACCTGCCAAGAAAGCTAGGGCCGAATATGAGATGCCTGTCTCCATAGAGGAAGATCATGCACAGGACACTACGTGTTGGGAAGAGGTCTTTCAAGAACTTCAGAAAGAGTTGCCCAAGTCTGGAATCAAAACATGGACCAATCCTCAACATGCCGTTTTCCAATCCGTGCAGAGCAGAATGCCCGAACTTTCAGTCGGCGCTGTGAAGGCTGGTAAGGGCCTCGAACGACACATCGCACCCGAAGCTGGCTGGGAGGATGAACTGCCAATCAGACAGACAGTGCTACTGAGACGTTTCTCGTCACAGATAGAGAAGTTGTCAGCCGAAGATTGGACACGTCTTACCAAAGCTCAACAAAGAAGACATGCAAAGCCCAGTCATATAATGATTTGTGTTTTTGCCAGTGCCCAGAAACGTTCAGCGTCCGATGGAGACCGACCGGGATCCAATGCACTGTCACTTGACCAAGCTGTACATCCGAAAGCCGATACAGACACAGCGGTTCAGGAGATCTCTCCTCCTGTGCCTGTCAATCCAGTAGATGTTCCGACATGGACACCAGTTTCAGCCAGTGTCTCCGGCCCAAAGTTTTTGGAACTATCCGATGCTGACCAAGGCACCATCCGAAAATTGCACACCAACTTAGGACATCCGACAGCAGAGAAACTGGCGAGACATTTGTCCGAAGTCAATGCCGATCCCAAACTGGTAGGTGGAGCCCGGGATTACCAATGTGCGTCATGTGCAGAACGGGTGAAACCCGGTCTATCCACACCAGGCAATCTGAAAGACCCCAAAGAGTTCAATGAGAGGGTATCTATCGATGGTTTTGAATGGGAGAGTAAATCGGGGTATAAAGCCTATGTTCTACATATCCTCGATGATGCCACTAGATTTCACCTAGGACAAAGAACTCGAAGGGAAATTGAAGTAACCTCAAGACTTGTCAAAAACATGTGGTTTCAATGGGCGGGTTATCCGAAACAAATCATCCACGACCAGGGAGGGGAATTCATGACTCAAGAGTGGAAAGATTTGCTTTGTCAGAATGGCATACAGCCCATACTCACGGCCGCCCCATGGCAAAGAGGCAGGATAGAACGACATGGAGGAGTTATCAAAGAAATGTTAAGTAGGATGGACCACGAGATTCCTATTCTTGATAGCAAGCAATTTGACGAAGCACTTGCCCAATGTTTCCATGCCAAAAATACCATGTCAGTTGTTGCAGGGTATAGTCCTGAACAAGCAGTACTTGGTCGTGCTTCCCAATTGCCTGCCTCCATCGTGTCGGATGAATCAACTGGACCTCATTTGAATAGCCTTGCCGAAGATGTTGCTAGCAATGCATTCAACCAAAGACTACAGTTGAGAGCCTCCGCCAGAGCAGCCTTTGCAAAGTCTGACAACAGTGATGCCATCCGCCGGGCGATGCTTCGCCAATCACGAGGTGAGGTGCATGCATGGGCCTGTGGTCAATTGTGTATGTATTGGGATCGTCGCCGATCCCCCAATATCCTTGAAAAGGGCAGATGGAACGGCCCAGCTCAAATAGTGTGTCAGGAATCCCGCACCATAGTATGGATAACCCACCTAAATCGTCTTCTCAGATGCGCCAAAGAAAAATTTGCGTCCAGTGTCAATGCGAGAGTTTCAGCAACATGCCACGTTTACCCAAGTCTCAACGCAAAGCCAATTGCAACAGATGTCCCAACACTTGCAAGCAAAACTTCGGGAGAGAAGTGGCCTATTTCAATACTTAGATTTAAGTGGAATAGAGCCCGAGGACCAAAATAATGAAAATAATCCCGATAATACCAACAACACCGATAAAATTTCCAATCACTCACGTCAACCTGAAGAAGAACCCCAAAGAAAAGTTTCCCAAACAATCTTGACAGATGCACAGTTGTTATCACAGGCACAGGCCACACCTGTACCGGAGTCTCCCGTCTCCTCAATCCCCAATGGAGCCGAAAGGGATGATGACCAGGAGATGTCGTATACCCCAAGCTTGGCGCCAAGTACAGAAGAAACTGTTGAATGTGAAACAGATCGAGATCCAGATCAGGGGTCTACACAAACAGACCCTGACATGGAACCCGTCTATAATGTTTCCATCATGGAAAATCACTTGGACTCTGATATCATCATAGAAGATCACAGCACACCTTGGCCAGAGCTAGAGAGTATCGAGTCTGCCTGTGTATCATTTTCTTTTGAGTTGCCGCAGCAACAATTCACCAGGTACCTGAAGAAGCCAGACACTTTTCTTCCGTGTCTGACTGCAGCAGCCAAGAAGTCTCGAAACGAGGTGAAATACTCTGACTTGACATCCCAGGAAAAAGAGCTGTTCCGTATAGCCAAGCAAAAGGAGCTTAAATGCTGGCTAGATACCAATACCGTACAAGCCATCTTAAGAGACAGAATTCATCCTTCAAGAATTATGTCATCTCGTTGGATTTTAACTTGGAAAGATGACCCCTCATCCAATATGGGTAAGAAGGCAAAAGCTCGTTTGGTAGTAAAGGGGTTTCAAGATCCAGACATTGGATCATTATGTTCCGATAGTCCAACATTGACTCGAGATTCCAGGATGCTGCTCTTGCAGACGGTGGCCAGCCGTAAATGGATTGTTCAAGCTTTTGACATCACGACTGCGTTCTTGCGAGGGCGATCAGATGATCGAGAGCTGGCCATGGAAGCTCCAGTTGAATTGCAGACCCTCTTGGGAATGAGTCCAAACCAAGTTTGTCTTTTAAAGGGAAATGCCTATGGAAGGGTAGATGCCCCTTTGCTTTTCTATAAGGAGTTTCGCAAACGCCTCGAAGATGTTGGGTTTGTTGCTCACCCTTTGGATAACTGCCTCTTCTTATTGCGGAATTCCCATAACCCTAAGATGTTAGATGGTATCTTAGGAACACATGTGGATGATGGCATTGGAGGGGGGAATGAAAACTTTGAAAAAGCAATAACCAAGCTTCAAGAAACTTTGCCATTCGGTACACGAGAATATGGTAAATTCAAGTTCACTGGACTGGATATTGAACAATTACCTGATTTCTCTATAAAGGTAAATCAATCAAAGTATGTCCACAAAATTGCCCCCATAGATGTCCCTAAACCACGCCGAGCAGAAACAGATAGCCCACTAACGGAGCGAGAAGTCCAGCAATTGAGAGGCCTTTGTGGCAGTTTACAATATGCTGCAGTCCACTCTCGTCCGGACATAGCAACTCGGGTGGCAAGCCTTCAAAAGGGGATCACCAAAGCAAATGTGGAAACTTTGTTAGAAGGGAACAGGACTTTGAGAGAGGCACAAAACCATGCTGACACCTCAATCATAGTCAGGTCGATCCCTGCAGAAGATGTGTGTTTCGCAAGTTTCGGCGACGCCAGTTTTGCATCAGCTAAACAGCTGACCGCACAGCAAGGTCTTTTCATCATGGCATGCACTCCCAAGCTAGGACAAAATGAAACAACCGAATTCTCTCCAATTGTTTGGCACTCTAAGCAGATAGGCCGTGTCGTTCGTTCGACACTCAGTGCAGAAGCATATGCCATGTCAAGTTCTCTAGATAAGCTCACGTGGATTCGTAGTATGTGGGGTTACATAAAGGACCCATCCTTTGCATGGTCCCGTCCCGAGATTGCATTAAAGGGTGAACACCCCGGACTCATGATAACCGATTGTAAATCCTTGTATGATCTTATAACCAAAACTGCAGTACCAAATTGCCAAGAGTGGAGGACTACAATTGAAGTCATGTTGCTCAAAGAGCAATCTCGAGAGCATACCTTGTGCCGATGGGTATCAACAGCAATCATGTTAGCAGATAGCCTCACAAAAGTAATGGATTCCACTTTCTTGAGAACAGTGCTTCAGTTGGGAAAATTTCGAATCTATGATGAAAGTATGACTTTGAAACAAAACGCCAACCGAAAGTATGGGGTAACATGGGTTAACAATCGAATTTAAAAGAGAGACCAGTGTGAATTCCAGGAATAACCTTGTCTACATGTCTGTGTCTTCAACTTGCCATTCGATTGTGTTCTGTAGGGGTTCAGATGCAACAGACTGAAACGTCTGCCATCTTCGTTACTTGTGGCTCAAGGCCACTGTTCAGGAACCGGGAGAAAACGCTGCTGCGAGCGCCATTGGTGGAGCTTGGAACGTGGGGACACGTTGGTTTATAGGTGAAAGAGAAACAAACATCTGTTGAGGCCAACATCAACCTTTTCCTATCAGTTTGGGACTGTTTGGATACTTTTGGAACTATATCCTTGAGGACAAGGGTTACCAGGTTTTGGAGTTGGAACCTACCAGTATGCTTGGGGACACACTGGCCCCTTCACACATACATGGGTTATAACTTATAACTATGGTTACTTACTTATGAATCGCTGATCTGCAGGAGACTCCTTCAAGGACCTGCAGTTCCCTGGAGGGCTGCTGCTTCCTGGTCCTCATGGAGGGATCAAGTTGATGGAATCCGACGTGTGTGTCCTGGCTGGGTGGAGTTGGGGAGTATGGGAAAGATTCGAAAATTCGTAGTTCGCGTTGGGCGAATTCTTCCGTTCATTTTGAGGATCCCTATAGGCCGGGCCAGCTGTGACCTGTGGAAGCCCTATGAACATGGCAGTTTTTTTGGGTGTTCAAAGAACCCAAGGTACCTTCATGGACTTCCCCAAGCATCAGGCACCCAAAAAGGTGAGTTGCAACGTGAATCCCCAAGGTGAGTTTTATCCCTCAAGGTAATTGGTCATGGATCCAATGCTAGTTTTCCATTCACATGGTCCACCTCATTCCTTTCAACCCAGGTTCCACCTCACCTTTTCCCAGTTGGCAACCCCCAAGATGAACGAAAAACCCAGCTCCTACATGGTGGCTATGGCTCAAAAGGTACCACATTTTTTTTTGGATTCTAACACTCTACGACAATGACAATACCACAGCTAGAAATACCCCTCAAATTGGATGGTGCACCAAAACTGACCCAGCAAAAACATGTTTTTCTTGGTGTCTATCTTTTTCTCCGCAAGGCTCGCCGTGCAACCTGCCACCCAGGCGCCTTCATGGCATCCCATGACTGTGACCTGAAGACCTCCCTGAAGTACGTGGCGGTCCTGGCACTCCATCGCCGGGGCTGGCTGGACCGGTACAACGGCGTGCCGCGGAAGGTCATCGCTGGAGCGCAGGCCTGGCAGAAGTCCATTGGAGCCGCGGAGGAGTTCGAGTGCTCCTTGGATTTTGGAGTTGGAAAGTCATTCTGGGAGTGAAAATTGAGAGATTTCGACGATGTTTGGGAAGTTAGGCATCACTGAAAGTTTTTTTTGTTCTGGATGGAGTCATTTTTTTTTGGTAAATCCTAATTATCCCTTCGTCCTAATCTTGAGCCAAACGCAACACTGGTTCAGTACTGGAACTGTTTAGTTTGGGGGGTCAAAAATTGCCGGCATTTATTTTTCAGGGAAGGGTTTATTAAGGTTGGGAAAACTCGTGTATACTTTTGTCCGAAATAGTGTATATAAATATATATATATATAAATATACACACACCTCCAAACAGCTATTTTCAGTTGGACAATAATGATTTGGCAACTATAGACAACAACGACTCTCGGAAAACAATTACCAAAAACAGCTATAAAGCCTCAACTTGCATCACATGTCCATTTCCAAAGCGATTTCGTGAAAAAAAATCCCATTCATCAACCCAAACAGTTCACCAAGTGATACGTCAACCTGTCGCGACTTCGTGGCCTGGGTGCCTCACCTCAGGCTTCGATCTCACCTTCATGGTCTCCCAGTCTCACCGTCGCCTGAACTCCGGGCGGTACGAGCGACTTGGGGGAAGCAGCATGTTGGAGCAGGTCCAGGGACCAATGGTGGTGAAGATGGATTCTGTATGGAAGGGAATACCTGGGAATCCATATATCCAATATATATATACATACATACAATTACGCACTATTGATTATATCCTACCCAGGAATGATTAATACAATTTGAACTAGAGATCGCAATGAGATGTATATGTATATACATACATACATATAATTATGCACTATACATTCATACATCCATACATCCATACATCCATACATACATCCATACATCCATACATCCATACATCCATACATCCATACATCATACATCCATACATCATACATCCATACATCCATCCATACATCCATACATCCATACATCCATACATTCATACATCATACCATCCATACATTCATACATCATACATCCATACATCCATACATCCATACATCCATACATCCATACATCCATACATCCATACATCCATACATCCATACATCCATACATCCATACATTCATACATCCATACATCCATACATCCATACATCCATACATCCATACATCCATACATCCATACATCATACATCCATACATACATCCATACATCCATCCATACATCCATACATCCATACATCCATACATCCATACATCCATACATCCATACATCCATACATCCATACATCATACATCCATACATTCATACATTCATACATCCATACATTCATACATCCATACATCCATACATCCATACATCCATACATCCATACATCCATACATCCTACATCCATACATCATACATCCATACATCATACATCCATACATCCATCCATACATACATCCATACATCCATACATCCATACATCATACATCCATACATCCATACATCCATACATCCATACATCCATACATCCATACATCCATACATCCATACATCCATACATCCATACATCCATACATCCATACATCTATACATCATACATATTTGATTGGAACTGGGAGAGACACGGTAAAACGTTTGGAGAAAACCTGAGAACCATGGACATACAACCGACAGTATGGAGACCTAACATGGTATGTATATTATGGGCTAAAGAGGACCTAATATGGAATGTTATATAATGGGTTATATATATAGATCACCAACAATATTGGATATGTGGGTCTGTCTGAAAATGGGGAATACCCCAAATCACCACGTTCATGGGGGAAACATGATGATTGCCCAGCAGGTTTGAGGGTAGCCAATTTTCATACAATCCCAGTAGAGTTGGGGAATAAACACATTTGTAAACTCGGGATGGCATCCCAGGGTAAGCTGCCCTCGATTATGAACCAAACATCATGCACGTGCAAGCGAGACTTACGTTTGGCGTGGAAGAAAGAACATGTCAGAACGATTTTTTGGTGGGAGGGGACAGTTGTGAGCTGTAAAAAGTGAAGGATTCATCCAGATTCCCAATTTTTCTGCCTGAGGGGTTGATATTTTGGTCACCTTTCGGGGGTTGGAAAGCCTGAATGTATTGGGTTGGATCTGTTACCCCAGGAATTGGGGGTATAACTACCCTCTAGTAAACATACAAAAAACTATGGAAAATCACCATTTTCATTGGGTAAATCCACTATTTCAATGGCCATGTTCAATAGCAAACTGTTAGTTTACCAGAGGGAAAACAAAATTGTTGGGATGGGATATCATATCACAGATCACAACAAACTGATGCCCACAGTTGTAGGCTAGATAAAAAAACCCATCCAAGTGTAGATATGATCTAACTATATCCATCATAAGCGCCGACCAAGCTACTTACTTCGATGTGCAATCCATTTGGTAAGTAGTTGCTAGCCTGTATATGACTGGATTGTACCCTACACATGACCGGGTTATTGAACATTTGGCTATTCACCACGCCTGATTGAGATGCACATCAAGTAGTTGAATCTAACTATAGATTTTGTCTAATAGATATCATCATTGACATTTACCTAAGTATACATAGATATCATCAAAGTATCGATATGGTCCAACTAAAGATATGATCTAAGTATATATATATCTATTCAACTATTGATTTCAAAAGTGCACCTATTAAACTATCTATTTCGAACGTTGATATAAAGTCCGTTGGAACTGAGCGCTTCAGCACACTGCACCGTGGTCGGCAGGTGGACCTTGGTCTGCGGCGCTTGAAGCCGGAGGAGATCCAGAACACGCAGGTGCCGACATGGCAATGGTCCAGTGGTAAAATTCGCGTATCACGATGATTTTATGGAGATATCCATGAGCTACAATGGGATAATATGGGATGTACCTTCTAGGACGTTCACATTATTAGCCCCTGAACATTGTACCATTTTTTTGGTGGAAACTGGTCTTCCAAGCCTCTGGCAGGGTTGGTGTTAGTTGGGGAGATGGTAATACAATTTGATGGAGATATAATGGAATGTGATGGGATATATATATACACTTATATTATATGTATATGTGTATGTATATATATATATACTGTATATATATATACTGTATACATATATATATATAAAGATTCCTTAACTCGTTTCCACACTTGTGATGCACATTTTCCCCGGTGAAAAAAAACAAGCGTGAGCCACGAGTCTCAGATGGTGAAGATTCGGCAGTGGTTTTTGGTGGGTTCTCCCAGTATGTCACAATGAAATTTCCCAGCATGGTTGGTTGACCCTGCATTTTTGTGGTGAAATCCCGAAATCCCCCATTGACAGTGAACATTTCCATGATTCGTGGGCGAAATTAATCAATTCCCCATTGATTTTGGGCTAAATCCAACATTATAGCGGATTTCATGCCATTTATTCAACAGCAGTGCTTCTGGGGTTTCAATCTCTAGATAATGGACTGGTGCATCACGGATCCTCGCAACTAGACTGGAACTTTCGAACCCTGGAACCCTGCAACCTGCTGTTGGCTTGCGAAGCTGGATGAATTGTTTGATGAAGTTCCCACAAATCATCACAAATCTAGGTTTGAACCCATCAACCTCCAAGGAATTTCCCATAAATCACCAATTTCCCATATGTTTTGAACCCATCAACCTCCTATGAACTTCCCATAAGTCACCATTTTTTTCATGATTTTCCCCCAATAAATCACCCATCAAACCCTTGCGCCCCGGCGCCAGCTCACCGTGAACCGCAGCTTCAGCTGCGGCGGCAGCGTCATGAAGGCCATGGCGTTGCTGGTGACCGGTGCCAAGCGAATCGAGGAGACCCGGGGAGAGCGCCGTTTTATCCCTGGTGCCCCAGTTAGGTAACTTGGTAAACAATAGCTAGGCCAACTGTGGGGTAACTATACATGTATTAATATATATATATTATATGTATATTCATGTATCATATATATATATACATATGTATCCCATATATATATACATATGTATATATATCGAATTGGTTGACTGGGTTAGCTTATGACTGTGGGACAAGACCTTGTAAATCGAAGACGGAAACCCTTTATGGCCACGGCGAAGTTCGGAAGGTCATGTTCCAAACCCAATAAACTTGGGGTTTCATGTTTAAAAAAATGCAGGGTGCAGCTGCAGGAAGGGCCCCTCTGAAACGATTTCTGTTGATCACTAGGACAACGATGGGGTTTATGCTGGATATATAGAACTAGTTTGAGGGGGGTAAAACGAACTGAGAACTAGGGGGGTGCCTCCTGTGTGAAGTCACGCAAAGATGGTGGCTTTACCAAGCCCAAAATCGCAGTTCTAAGGAGAGATGGGGATGGGTCAATACCAAAGAATGACCCTAACCCTAACAGGGTTTGACTGACACCTGGGCACCCATCAAATTTTTGCCATTGAACATGGGTTCAAACCAACATTTGGCACAGGGATTTCTCACCAGTAAAAAAAGAATCTGCATCATGCCAATGGGCAAGTGGATAGAAACTTGGAAATTGCCCACTTGGGATACGTCCAGAAACAGGGAACTTTGCACCTGTGCTTCCCACGGAAGCACGGTGCGGTGACTAAAAAAAACCGCTTTTGCTGGGTAAAAACCGAACAACTACATGGAAAGGCCCCTCCAAAAAGAGCAGGTTCTGATTTTTGCTCCAACTTTGGATGTTTAGTTTGACAGGAGTTGGTAAATCTCTTGGGCTGTGGGTCAAAGCATGGCAACCTTCAGAAGCTACAGAAAACAACTCCTATAACTCCTGTAGTTCTGAAGTGGTTATGTAGTGACTAAGTGCTTCATGGCTACCTTATGTAGTCATTTCTTAAGTGGAACTGCAGTTCCAACCCTGAAGTTGGAACCGCCAGGACTTCCCATTGATTCGGGTGGCCTGGTCAGAAAGTGGACAGCGATGGTACTCCGCGGACAACCGGAGGTTGTTCATCTTCAAGGCGACCTGGGGCTGGAGATGGGAGAGTCACATCCAAATCCATGGCCAGTTGGATGTTTTCTTTTGTTGAGATTAATTACTATATGTTGATACAGGAACCATTATTAGATTACTGTATGTTGACAAACCATTCTTGGGGAATATGTTTTTTTCCAACAATCAACATGTATCAGATTTTCCCGTAGCAATTCATGGCAACTCAACATGCTGTGCCATGAAAAAAAAGTGTTTCCCGAGGGCGGATGATTGGACTGGACTCCGACCGACCTGCGTGGCACTGCGGAACCTCACTCGTGGACCTCATCACTCAATATATAGGTTGTTAGTAAGAGATCTGTCCCCGAAAATATGATGGAGTATTTGTTATAAATTATAAATAATGTTTATGGATGTTTATGGTATGCTTTCACAATATATCTCCCAATGGATTTGTTCCCAATACACTGGTTCATTTCAGGTTTGCGGAAGATTTGCGATAGTTTGACGAGTCCCCATGGTTGATGGGTAGTCTCCATTGTCCCCATGAAATAATCCCCGAAGTAAAGTTGCTTGCATCCATTAAGTAGGCTAGTTGAAGCAATGCTGTCTTTGTGCACTGTGAACATCTTGAGAAAACTCAACAGGAACATGATTTTCCAGAGGCGTAGGTGGCTTGGGGTGTAGAAAAGGTCATTGGATGGATTTCTTCCAAAATTTGATTGAATATGCACCAAACATAGGATGATCGCGGGGGGGACATTTTGCTCAAACTCGTGGCTGAGGTTCCTCCCAAAGTGTGGCTGAGGTTATTCTGTTTCTGATTGGAAACCATTCAACCGAACATTTAATGTTTGGTCACTCCAACATCCATATTGCCTGTTTTTTGGGCCGATTACTCAATGTTTGGCAGTTGTTTAGCCTGACCACCATTCTGAAACTCACTTTAGGATTGCCATAATAAACATTGCTGCTACCTCTACCATTTTGGTCACTCTAGTAACTACTGTTTGATCGATGACCTCATATTTTGGCACCCCAAAAATCAATGTTTCAACCAAAAACATGGTTCAGTACAAGAGGTAGTCTGGTCAATGATATGAATCTAGGATATCTTGGCAGGAATCATCAATTCTTTACTCCAGTCCAATTGGTGATGTGTGTTGAGTATATAAACATCAACACTGCTAAGTTTACAGGAACCACAGTGTCCAGCTAAAATCAGCAAGAATCCATCATATAACTCATCATAAAACTCATCATAAAACTCATCTTGGATATCTTGGAAGGAATCATCAATTGTTTGCTCCATGTTTCCACCAAAATGGTCCAAACGACTGGCAGAAGCCACCTCTCAGGTGGTCGCACCTCTGCTCGACCTGGAGGACGTGGAGGTGAGGATGGCCGTCCGCGGAAGATCTTGGGAATTTCATGGGGATTTTAGATGGGATGTTACCCGGCCTGGTAAAACGTTGACAAAAAACGATGGAAAGATCCACCATGCATTTTTCATGGGTAAATCCACTATTTCTATGACCATTTTCAATAGCTTTTTGTTTGTTTACCAGAGGGTATATTCCATTAAGTGGATTATAATCCCATTAAACCCCATGAAATCCCAATTAAACCTCATTAAATGGGATTTAAATGGGAATTTCATGGGATTTATTTTTGTTTTCAATGGGATTTTGGATGGGATTTATGGGGGAATTCGTATCCACTTCATGGTACTTACCCTCTGGTAATTTGTTCAATAGCTATGCAAAGTGGATGGAAATGGACCATTTATTTCGATGATTTACCTAGGAAGAATAGAAAATTCCCAGGGGTTGTGTTGAATTACCAGAGGATATGTTGGGAAATGATTTTTTTCCCCCTATTTTGCCCGGATGCTGATTGCCTCGTATTTTTTGTGGATGACCTGATTCATTCTGGTTTCATTTTATTTTTTATTTGTTTGTTTTTTGATCCCATAGCAATTTTTGAACATCCAACATTTTAGTCAAATCCATCTAGTTTTGCTCAACATCAGCTAGTTTCTTGATGGGACACTTGACTTCAGCCGCCCTTTGCGTGACTGTTGGGCCGAACAATGTGGCAGGGGTTGAAACTAAGCACCCATGGGGGTGAATCACCTTTCATGATCCATCACACTGCTTCTCTAGATGCAGAAACGGGTGTGGCTGAAAAATGCTGAAAATGGTACCCCACTGCCAATGGATAATCCTCATTTTCCTCATTCAATGGACATTTTTAGATATCTCCTATTTTTCGAACCCAAAGGACCAGTCTTTTTTCTGGTTGGTGGTTTGGAACATTTTTTATTTTTCAATATATTGGGAATTTCATCATCCCATCTGACGAACTCATATTTTTCAGAGGGGTAGGTATACCACCAACCAGAATATTTTCTGGGTCGATGGTTACCCCAAGTTTGAACCATGCCAGGTGGCAGTCATCAACTGGACTTCGGAGTTCGATTGCAAGAACAACCAGAAGGATCTTTGGGCCATGCGGCGTGGGTGAACTTGGAAAAGGACATGGTCGTATACCAGCAGATATATGAGCATCAAATTATAGGGAAAATGATGGTGAACATCATCGGGAATATGATGGTACCCTATTTTAAGACAAAGCCACTTGTGGTTCTTTTGGTGTTTGCGTAGTGTTTTTGAGTTGTGGCTGTGGTCGTTGCATCATTGTCATCATCGTCGTCGTTGTCGTCGCCGCCGCCGTCGTCGTTGTCGTTGTCGTTGTCGACGATGATGTTGACGATAACAATAACAACAATTATGGAACGCTACTAAGAACAATAACCATTTACAGTGACAAAAGCCACACAAAAATCATCAGAAAACTCAACAAAAAGGACTTAAATCAACCACTTCGAACGACCAACAAAAACATTGAAAAACATAATCATTACCATAAAACACCATAAATAAATACAAATCCGACCATCCAAAAAACATCGATAGAAATCCCAACTTTCCATCCTGAAACTATAGAAATCCCCGTCAAAAACTCATCAAAACGATAGAAATCCCCATCAAAAAATCATAAAACTGTAGAAATCCGTGAAATCCCTAATAAAAACACACAAAATGATAGAAATCCCCATGAAAAACTCATCAAAATCATAGAAATCCCCATCAAAAATCTTCCCATCCTCGCGCTGCCGGCGGCTCCAGGAGCGCTTTGGAGAGGTCTGGGCCACCCACGCGACCAGCGTGGCGCAGGTGCGGCATCAGCTGCTGGAGGCCATGGCACGCGGAGATGACTTTGGGCCGCCGGGGATGCCCAGGGGTTCGGGAAAACCATAGGAAAACCATAGGAAAACCATAGGAAAATGGAGGTTTACCCTCCGGTAAACTAACATAGCTACCAAGACTGGGATATTTGGGATCGTCCAAGATTGGGATAGGATCTGGTTATGACTAACAGTTTGCTATTGAAAATGGCCATAGAAATAGTGGATTTTCCCATAAAAAAATGGTGATTTTCCATAGCTTTTTGTATGTTTACCAGAGGGTAAGCCACAAATTCATTTAATGTGCTGCAAGCAATTTTCAGACAGGCCATATACCATGTGTCTGGGTTATATAGATATCATATATATCCCATTATATCCGATAAAATCCCAGTGTATCCAAGGAAATTCGCACATGGTTGGCTTACTTGGTGGTTCATCCCACTTACGATTCCGAATGTGTGAGGCACCCTTTTTTCCACCATTTTTCTTGTTTGAAACCGATTGTTTCACCTACTTAGAGAGTCGCATTCCACTTAGCAAGTGGTTTATAACATAGATACGCATACATCACCCATGTATAAACCATGTATATATATATATATCCCACATGCATAACTGGGGCATACTAAGTTACTATGGTCATTACTCATTTCCCAAACCCGTGCCGACACGTCTTCCAAGGCCCGAAAGTGATGACCCAGAATTGCAGAGTCTCCCGGTCCCGTGTGGCGGTGTTGGATATATGGAAGATTTACTAGGGATATCATGGGATATGGTATTCAACACCAACTTGATATGATTTTTGCGGCTGTCTTTCATAACATGGTGTATTCCCCGAAACGGTGAAATGCTGATTAAGCAGTGGATTTGGGCCCCATTATCAGAGAAACCCATAGGTTGATCAAGGATCACCAAATCACAGACGGCTTCAAACGTGCTTTGGGTTGGCTTCACAGCAGGCTTTTCCTCGTGAAATGGCAGGGGTATGCTGCAGGGTCGGTTGGGTTTACAGTATGTTAGAATCACGGGGGACTCGCAAACATCTAGTTAGTCATCATTTTCTCTATTCAAGTGGCCATAGCTTGAGGTCTGCCAAAGCAAAATCGATGTAAAGAAGTACCCAACAATGAACATCCCATTGGGGATTGAAACTCAACTCAACCCAATTTTGGGTAACATTGAAGATGCTTTACCACTATTTACCTGGATAGAAGGGTTTGCTAACCCGGAAAGAACATCTTTATTTTCTGGTGGTGAAATTGTCGGTGAGTTTACCAACCCAGTTCTTCACCACTTAGCTCCAGCATCCTCGCTGCGGCGCCCAGGCCTTTATGTTCCCTTGCTAGATCCGGCTTTGAGCGCGCCGATCTGTGCAGAAAGCGAAGGGGAAGCGGAAAAGGAGGCCAGGTTCAGCCGGGAGGGGAGGAGATTCAGCCGCGTTCAGCCAGCAACATTTAAGGAGTGAAGGAGTTTTATCCATCAAACATAGGGGATTTTATAGTCAACAGTTTGGATTTATGCAGCTTGTTTTTGGGGAGTCCCCATCAGACGTGGGGGTTTTACGGTCAGCGGTGGGGGTTTATCCATGAAAAAGTCGGATTGAACCATCGAGTGTTGCGATGGCTTCAGTTGATTTCCTGTCTTCGAAATTAGACATCCATCGATGTCTTGAGAGTACATTCCAATAGTAATGGTGATATGATAGGAATATGATGGGGCATTCCTATCCCTAAACCTTTTTCTTTATTTTTTTGGGGGCATCTTTGAGCGAGGTTCAAAATGTTGTGGGGATACCACTAATACATTTGGTAAATCAGGGGCCCATCATGGTACAGTGGACCCTTGAGACGGCTAGTAGTAGGTTCATACGTTCATATAAGTTTGTTTTTGGACATATCATGCCCCAAACCTCTCTGGTTTGGTGGTTGATGATAATGGCTTATGCTTAGTGGTGTTTTTTAATGAAGTGGGCATCCGAAACTCCCTCTTGAGTGGTTTGAAAAGTCAAAAAGTCCAGACCAAACACATGTGAACCAGAAATCCCATATTTTCCTCATATCTTCCCATGTTTTCACGTGGTCTTCTCGATATTTTCCCATATTTTCCCAATGTTTTCCCCCCTGTTTTACCACCAATGCCCCGAGATCGTCCAGGATCTCTCCTGCGACGCCTATCACCTGCCGGCTGAGCCCTCGCGCAACGTGCGGCGTCTGGAGGGCGGTGACCTCGACGTTCTGGGCGACGTGCGAACGCTGCGAATGGCAGGGCGAGAGGCCGGGGACTTGGGAAATGGTGCTTGGAATGGTGAAAAAATGAGGAGATGATGGGAATATTATAGGGTATCTTTAATGGGTCATAATTTATGGTGAGATAATGGATATATAATGGTGATAGGGTAGTGTAAAATTATAGTGTATCTTTAATGGGTCATAACTTATTTTTTTGTGGTGTGATATCATGGATTTTTTTGATGGTGATGGGGCAGTCATTTATTGTTATTATCGTTATCATTCTCATGAATCATTGGCATTTTTATTATATATATGGTTATCTCTTCTTAGCATTGTATATAGTAACCACCCAAAAGATAGAAATGGTGATATGATAGGAATATGATGGGAATATAACAATTGTGGGATATTGTCGGGATATTATGGGGATATACTGATAGAACAGTATCTTACCACTATCATAAGACACCCTCTGGTCATTGAACATAGCGAACTGGAAAATCATCATTTCTAATCGGTATTTCGTAATAAGTAATCTATACATGGTGATATGATGGTGATATGATGGGAAGATTGTCGGGGATATAACGGGTATATAATGGTGAAATCATGGAATATTATATAATGGTGATAACATGGGCATATAATGCAGGATGGATAAAACCATCAAAAAAATCGTGGATATCATCTATAAATGGTGATGTAAAGGTGATATGACGGTGATCTAGGCAGCAACATGGGATATTATAGGGGATATAAGGGTGAGAGAATGGGCATATAGTGCAGGATAACTTGGATAACCCCATCAAACGTTTTTTTTTTTAAATGGGATCAAGCCAGGATTCAGCCAGGGATAAAAGCTTTTCAAAGTGGGGGGAAGTCATCTATAATTGGGGAACACTTGGTATGACCAACACTTGGGCTTGCTACAGGTCGCTGGTGAATCATAGCCATGGAAACGTGTCATTTATCCTCCCTTTTGACCTGGGGTGTTGGGAGCATCTGGTTGGTGGTTTCTGCTAGTTCCAGCCATAGAAATGGGATCTGTATGTTTATTTTGAAACATAGAAATGGGATGGTGATATCCCCCAATGACACTGCTGTTTGAACCAGTCTCAGATGTCCACAAAAGTCGCTCACACAAAAATCAGCTGGGCAACCCTTCGTTTAGGCAGGGCACAGATGGCTTGTGACTCTCACTTCTGACTATCTCTAGAGCTCTGTGGAGACACGCTTTCTGTAGTACTTGGGGTGAGCCACTCCCTTGACCAAGTTCTCCCCATATTTGGGTACAGCTCAAAATTGTTTTCCCCCAGGCAAAACAATGGTCCCAACATGTTTTTTAGCAATCCCCAACTATCGCAGACTTGGGGCGGAAGATTTACTTACGGAAATCGCGAGAATCCCATCCCCTAATCTTCAAATAGGTATCAAACGAAACTTCGATCGAAACTTCGATCTATTCAATAGTTTAAATATGTTTAAATGATAGTTCTCATCCAAACAAAACTTGAAGATTCTTCAATCTTTTAGTCTTTGGATGTATTTGAACTATTGGTTTTGGGGGCCATACCGGTGGTATGGGTGCTATCCCAGCCAGGCTCGGGCCGAGATCCTACAGCTGCAGATCGAAGCCTTTCGGGACCAGGCTGAGGCGATTCGAGGGACGAAACCCGGAATGGTTACCCTCTGGTAAACATACAAAAAGCTATTGAAAATGGCCATAGAAATAGTGGATTTTCCCATTAAAAATGGTGATTTTCCATAGCTATGTTAAATTACGAAATTGTGATAAATCAACCCTTTAGACTTTTCTGCATTTGTTTGAACATTCAATTGTATAAAACATGCCGATATTCTATTTTGGTACTATCTGTACATGCTCTTCAAAGGCAGCACATAATAAATGAACAAATATCACGTCTACTTCACTCAAAGACTCAAACACCATGTTTGTTGAAAAGCATTTGTTGGGCGTCATGCATTTTCAGCACGACCTGCAGCTCAGCTTGAACAGTCCGAGTCATGGTCGACCTGATGCAGGAACATGAGAAATTGAAGGAGCTGCTGCGACCTTTGAACGTGACCAACTTTGAGCAAATCGGTTTCTGGATGGTGTTTTCATTTACCCTCTGGTGATTTAACGTAGCTATGGAAGCCATGGCCCATAGAAATAGATTCAGATGATTTATGGTGAATAGCCTATGATTCTAATGGTGAATTTCCGGTTCGCTACGTTAAATGACCAGAGGCTACATCTGGTTGGTGGTTTGACATACGTTCTATTTTCCGTCCAACAAATAGGATGTTGATCCCCCCCATTGACGAGCATACTGTTTGATTGGGGTTGAAACCATCAACCAGACACATTTTGGATGTTTTATCCCTGAAAGTGGTAAATGATAAATCCTTGTTGACATCAATTGACATTAATTTTCCAGTTGTATTTCCCCAAGTTTGGAGGATCAATCATCATTTCTGGACGATGAAACATCATTAAATATCGTGGTTCATAGTAATCCCGAAAGGTGACGTTTACATAGTTAGGTAAAGGATGGTAAAGGAACCCTTTTAAGTTAAGGAAAGGGACCTGGTGTATTTTTCGTCAACCAGGTTTGAACATGTCCTCGTGTATCGCGGAAGCTGTTCGTTTGTCGCTGATCGACGATGCGGAGAAGAAGCGGCTGCAGGTTTCCATCGTGGGAATACCCCAATAGCTGGATGGTTTATCATGGATCCGAAAATAAAATGGATGATTTAGGGGTAACAGTAACCCAATGTTAGGAAACCTCCATATTCCGATATTTAGGATCATAAATTGGAGATTTACTACTTAAACCTGAAGATATGCAAGACAAGCCACTGTTTACACCTTGGTCGGGTAGGTATTTTGTGCTATGAAAACAATACCGAGCTAGAAACCACATATAATTGTCTTTTTGTCCGAGACTGATCCTAGGACACTGCAATTTTGTGGAAGTTATTATATTTTATGGCTATCCTGATTTGGCATTTTTGGCTAGGCCCAAAAAGATAGGACACGCCTGTGACCACGCTGGGCCATCCCCTGCAGGCCATTGATGATAGAGGCAATTGTGCCAAGCATTGTCCAGAGAAACTCGAGAAAATGCTTTCAGGAGCATTTTCTATTTTCCTTGAAAGATATTGAAATTAGATATTTTCACAATTTCTTAGATATTTCTGGTGACCCGAAATTGTGTTTTCCATTTTCAGGAGCATTTTCTATTTTCGTTGAAAGATATTGAAAGGATAACCCCAACTGACTTAGATTCTTAGATCAGAATTTCCCCAACTGGGCCAATAGGGGCTTGGCATCCGAAAGCTTTGCACGGGGGATGGGTTTTGACAGCTGAGCAACATGATTTTCTTGACAAAAAGGTGGGGGATTCTGATCTCATAGTGTTCTGCTACTTCTCAGCCCTCTGGTAATTCAACATAGCCATGGAAACCGACCCATTTGTAGATGATTTACCCTTAAAAACTCCATTTTAGAGGGGATGTTCATGGATTTACCATATTAAACATGGCCATTTCCATGGCTATGTTGAGGATAGCCACGTTGGACCCCCTTTGTAACCACCCAAGGAGGTTGCGTGCCACAGCTGAAGATAGCGATGCCGCGCCAATGCGAGAGGATGACCCAAATGCTCCACACGGTCCACGTGAGCCGGTGGAAGCCTCTCAGCGGCGATTTTCTGGAAAGGTTGGACTTTTACCCTCTGGTTATGTCAAAATAGCTATTGAAAATGGCTATTTATAGTGGATTTACCCATTGAAAATGATGATTTTCCATAGCTATGTTAAATTACCAGAGGGTGCTGTCTGGTTATTTAACGGCTTGCCCACGGACGCCCACACTTGGATGTGCATCCCGCGACGCTCACCGCTCACACACCATTCACACACCATAGGTCTGGCGATTAACACACCATTCACACTCCAAAATTCACACCATTAACACGTATGGTTAATCCATAGTTACTGATGTGTTAATGGTGTGAATTTCTTATTCATGATGTACTCATACGTAATTCATACCATGGTTATTGTCCCCAGTACAACGGGAGATCCCTCCAAGGTCATCCATGGCGAAGATGCCGTGGAGCTGCTCCGTCGCGTGGGGCAGAGCTTGGCGAAGTCTCCGAACCGCCAGGAGGCGCGCGCGGCGCGCGGCGTCAGCGGCTGAGGGCCGTCTCGATTGGTGGTCCAAAACAATCCCTGGAGTGGCCGGTGAATGGGGAATTAACCACCAAATATGGGGATTTAGTTGTCATGGTGATTTTCCATGGCTATGTTAAATAACCAGATGGTATATGAAAATGATAGTAATAGTAATTATTGGATAGTAATTATAGTAATTATATGATAATAATTGGATTATGAACCTTATGGCTGGTGAATGGGGATTTACCCTCTGGTTATTTAACATAGCCATGGGAAATGGCCCATAGAAATAGATGGTTTACCGTTCTTCATAGCATGGTGATTTTCTATGGCTATGTTAAATAACCAGATGGTATATGATAATGATAGTAATAGTAATTATTGGATAGTAATTATAGTAATTATATGATAATAATTGGATTATGAACCTTATGGCTGGTGAATGGGGATTTACCCTCTGGTTATTTAACATAGCCATGGGAAATGGCCCATAGAAATAGATGGTTTACCGTTCTTAATAGCATGGTGATTTTCCATGGCTATGTTAAATAACCAGATGGTAACCACCAAATATGGGGGTTTCCTGAAATGGGTATATCGTGTATACCCCAATAGCTGGTTGATTTAGAACGGAAAACCCCAAAGAAAATGGATGATTTGGGGGTACCACCATTTAAGGAAACCAGCAAATATGGGTTTGGAGCACTAATTCAATTGGGGTTGTCCTTGATAAATGGTGGATGATTGGTTAATGGTTTTCATTGACCTACTTGGTTTATATCCTGAGAAGGTTTCTTAAAATGGGAGACCAGAGGGTAGATGCTGTGAAGATGTTTTTGTAGCCATGTTTTTTTACCACCACATCTATATGGTTTCATCGCTCAGGAGGTGGCGGTGTCACTGCTGAAGGAAGTCCTCGAGTGTCACTGCAGGTTGAACGACAACCAGAAGCTACCCTTGGACTTTGAGCTGTTGGAGTCGCAGCCGGAGGCCGGAGACGGTGTGAAAAGGCATGATTTTTTTAAGGATGAAAGTAGCATTGCACCACGTTCTTCGGAGTTTAAAAGGCTTTAGAAAAGGTCATATTTAACATGATCTAGCATTTTTAATTGACAAGTTCCATGTTTTTCCCCAGATTTTTCTCCCAGTTTCAGGTCCGACCCGAAAGCGCAGCCCGTCGCCGTTTCGTCAAAACAAGGCCTTTCGCATGGCCGTGGTCGTGGCGGGCCGCCGCTTTGAGGCGGCAGAATGCTGCAGTAGCAAGAAGGCGCCTCGGGGGATGATGGGTCATAACATGAACATTATTACTATCATTATCCAATTATAATGTTAATATAGTGATATGATAGTAATAATGTTCATGTTATACTATAGAAATAACCAGAGGGTAAATCCCCATTCACCAGCCATAATGTTCATAATCCAATTATTGGTATAATTAATATAATGATTATCACTATATTACTATATTATATCACTATAATAATCCAATTATGATTATGAACATTATGATAATGTTAGTAATATAGTGATAATCAGAATCCAATTATTACTGTATAATCCATTACTATCATTATCATAATGTTCATAATCCAATTATTATCATATAATTACTGTAATTACTATCCAATAATTGTTATTACTATCATAATTGGATTATAATTACTGTTATCACAATCCAATGAGTGTTATTATTGTTACTAATATTCTGGTTGTTGTTATCATTAACATTGAGGTTTAGAAAAAAGCCTTATCATTCCCATTATTGATGATGATGTATTGAATGGCAACATGGATGGGTTTTGGGGATGATCATATCCCCCGTTTGATCATCCCCACTCGCTCGCTACACTTTTTGATCCCACCCGAGGATAGAATTCTTGTCGTCGGTATTCGTTGGTTAAATCCCATTCTTCGGGATAAATGGTGTTGCGACCTCACTGTGACGTCACTAGGAATGATGGTTAGGAGTTCGGTAACTATCCCAAAATGGCCTTGGGTGGTTGAAATAGTGTTTATTCCGATTAAAATCCTCATTTGATGGTTAAATCCAATACATTCCCACACCACTGTATCCATTCATTTTCTTGTCTTGGGGTGTTATTGCCAAAGCAGCTGGACTGGGGATTCAAACCAAAAAAAAGGTATACCAACTGATGTATTTGGAGAATATCAACAACATTTTTTTGAGGCAATGATGATTGTCCCTGCGGTTTTGGACAAAGCAACATGAGTCTTTTCTGGGGTTTCGACAGTTTCCCCACCAGCTTTTGCTGCTGGAACTGTGGTTGAACCAGCTACCTTCACATCAATTTTTTCCGAAAAGAACCCCACACAATTTGGAAAAGAAGCTCAAAGGTTGGATGATGAATGCTGGTTTCACAGTATTTCAGGTGCTTTTTTCGAATGAAAACAGCCGCAGGAGGCCAAGAGAAAGGCAGCTCTGGCGGCCATTGATGGCTTGGTCCGCGACTTCCAGGGCCTGTCGAGTCCCCGGTCGAGTAATGGGTCCAGTCCCGACTCGGAGAGGTCCAGTGACTGGGAAGTCTTGGAGGACTATGAGATCTGTGAAGCTCAAGGTGGGGATGGGATGAAGCAAATGTCATGGGAGGCTTTTTTTTGTGAAACTCTGGAGACATGGAGACATGGTGGGATGATGGGATGAAACGATATTTCATGGGAGGCTTGTTTTTTTGTGGTGAAAGTTAATGGAGACCTGGAGATCCTGGAGACTTTGGGGTTGTGTTTTTTGTTTCAAACATATTATTGGGGAATGATGATCCCTCCAAGTGGAACAGATGGTTGGAGTTGGAAGGACCAAGAAATCTGTCTGGTGGGGATTATGCACTGTGACTCTTCGCCGTTTGGTGATCGATTCTTCTCCCGTGCCAGAACGGAACACGACTTTTTCTTTTGGACTTTTGGATCCTCCAGGGTTGGACAAAGCCCCAAGTCATTTTGCAAATGGCAACAATCCCCATGATATTCCCATGGTATCCCCATCCATTGTTCTCCCCCGTTTTCGGACAACCCCTGGTGCCACAGCCCCAGGCAGCGAGGACTATCTTCGCGTGGAGCTGGTGCTGGAACCCGACCATGCCACCAGCTGCCAGTGCTTTCGCCCCAAGGAGCAGCTTTTAGAACACCTGGAACAGCTTATGGGAAGGGCGCCCACGACGCAGCCTGGAAGCAAGGAGCGGGTCGAACCTTGACATTGGAGATACCCTCTGGTAAACTAACATAGCTATTGAACATGGCCATTTATAGTGGATTTTCCCATTAAAAATGGTGATTTCCCATAGTTATGTCAAATTACCAGAGGGTATCCCAACTGGTTGCTGGTTTGAACCATTTTCTTTGAAGTTTTGAGGCACTTATTTGGGATGATGATCCCGAATGACCCAGATTTTCCAGCCTGACATATTTGATAAAACAAATGAGACGATGCGTGGCACAATTCGCCAGCAGATGAGGGATCAAACAGGACAATCGATTCCTCCGTGTTTGAGATTCTTTCTCTTGGTGACATGTTTGAGGATCTTTCCCAAGATTGCAGTACCCTCTGGTAAACATACAAAAAACTATGGAAAAAAACACCATGCTATTAATAGGTAAATCAACTATAAATAGCCATTTTCAATAGCAAACTGTTAACATAACCAGAGACCAGAGGGTACCCCTTTTCACCATGAGCTTCTCTAACACGACCAACGGATGGGATGAACATACTTTGGGTCAATTGAAGAAACCTTTGAGGTGACCGCTCTAGTTGGGTTTGTATGAAAACAGCGTCTCCCCAAATCCACTGATCAATCATCATTTCATACCATTTTGCCTACAACAAAAACATTTGGGAGTACTGTATACTCAATTTTCAGTCACAACCATATATCATGTGGAAGTTTCCTGAGTCATGGGGGTACCCCCAGTTATCATCCATTTATAGATTGATTTTCCATTGTAAACCATCCATTTTGGTCACAAGCATATATCATATCAAGTTGGTGAAACACATCCCTCTCAGAATATCCCCAGTTCTAGATGATTTTCCCATTGGAAATGTCCCCAGTATCACTCCCAAATGAGCAGTGCTCAAAACCCCGGTTGATTGATGATTACAGTGGATTATACTAACCAACATATTAGGGACTATCATAATCCATGAATGGGGAATCCCGTTCTTGGACATCCAGTAAAATAGAATGACATATTCTTTTGAACACTGCTCAAATGCTATGTTTACTGGTTTATAACCCCCACCAACTAGATATAGCTCTAATTTTGATGAATTACTCATGTCGATCTATCAAATTATAGACACATCTATACATACAATCTCAAATGGTATATAATTAATTATATATATATGTATATGTATATATATATGTATATATATATGTATATATATATATGTATATATATATGTATATATATATGTACACAATATCATATTATTATATATTCGATCTATCATTAGATCATTTGAAGGCTACCTGACAAATTTTCTCCAATAGTTTCGGATTCCGCACGGGGCCGAGGTTCGAGTGCCGCTTCGCCTTCAAGGGCTGGCAGCGTTTCTGGCGCTGCCGGGTGCAGCTGCAGTCCCCGCTGCTGGAGCTGCGCGGAAGCTTCGAAGGGACCCCTGCGCAGACGCCGGAGACGCCTGGGTTAAAACATTAGTTAAATGGAGGTGTAAACTGTCAAAACGGGGGGTTAAAATAGGTGAAATGTGAAGGATTAAGCAGCAAAAGTGACGGCTTCATGAGGTTCAAGTAGTAAACTAGGGGTGAAATAGGAGCAAAAATTGGGGCTCGAGCAATGGAAATCTGGGTTTCGAAGTACTAAGACAGCCTCGCAGTGGCGGACCAGTTGCCCCCAAAAATGATGCTTAGGATTGGAGGAATCATATGTTGAATTTGTGAAGCAGAATGATGTGCCAATAGTTGTAAGGGTATGGGTGGAGAGTTTGGGAACCACAGATGTTGGTCACTTTTTGTTAGTAATCCATCCCCACGTCCCCGTACCCATCGCCCCTTAAGGCAAGCTGAGCAGAACGCGGCCTGGAAGGTGTTGGAGAAGCTGAAGTTGATCAAAGTGGTTCCTTTGGCCAAGCCGCGGTCGTTTTTTTTTCTCCGACAATTGGGGGTGTCGGTTGAAGAAACTCGTTGGAGGTCTCCTAAGTCATTGGGGTATCCCCAAATCATTAGACCATGACTTAGTTCAATGGCCATTCCAGGAACCTAAATTGGAGGTACCTACCATATATAAGGCCTATTTTTTAGGCCTATGTAAGGGAATATTCCCCCAAAATATGGCCTTATATGGTACAGTACCTCCATTTTAGGATCCTGAAATTCCCATTGATTAGTATTGAAAGCCATGATGACGACTGGGGATCCCCCATGACTGAAGACCCCCCGGTTATGGTGAAGTTCTGACATTATCAATGAGTGAAGCGTCAGAGCTTTGCCGGGTGATCGACCGGTGATTTTAACCTTTTGTTTCTTGTCGTATCAACCCTGGATCGGTAAACCTCCCAGTTTGCTCAAGGAGGGGGATCCTAGATTTCAAGTTTAGTCCTCAGTTTACTCAGTGCTTCCTCTCCCGCGTCTCTGAGGTGCAGCTCCACAAAGACCAAGAACTGCAGGAGGCTTTGAGGACGCCACGATGGGAGGCTCCAGCAACTTCTTGGTGAAATCGAGATTTTTTTAGCCAGAAACAACACGGGATATAGCCATCTTTGCCATCTCTTTAGTGAAACCAGGATATTTTAGAGATAAACATGTTGTATTTCATCCATAATGGGTCAGTTGTTGTAATATCGCCATCCATTTTGACAGGGAATCAAGAGCATTTCATTCTCGGGAACCCTAAATTTTTGGAGAGATCCAACTGAAAAACCTCCACCAAATCAGCAACTGTTTTGGGGTTCACCAGGTTAGCGTTTTGAGCTATGGCCCATTTGACAAAGGCTTACAGGAGGATGGTTATCCCAAGAGCCCCGAGGTGGTGCCCCACAGTTATAAATTGGTTTTCGAAGCCCATGAACTGCATCAACTAGTTCGATATATCACCCGCAAAAACCATAGTTATTGGAGTTATGTTCACCAACTGAGCTATGGAACGGGGGCACCACCTTGTGTACATATCGCTCTATATATATATATATTCATACCAGCCATGTGACTTGACCATGGCACATATGGGCACCACGTAGAATTCCCGGGCGAGTCCAGGACTTTGCCCAATTCCAGCAATTTGGAGCTGGTTCAGGCGAGGCTGGGGGATGCTTCGTGGATGCGAGGTTGCCCTAAGGAGCATGAATCAACCAGCAAACATGGACCAATTGGATCCAATTGGGTGCAGAGAAGATATGTTCACAGGGACGAGCTAGCACTCCATCCATATTTTAGTGAACATTGAGCTATTGCCGAATGTTTTTCACGGGCCCTTAGCAGCATGAGTTCACCCACTTTTGGATCTCAAGGCAACATATGGCTGTGGCAACCCAAACATGGTCCATCTTGGTGAGTTGATATATTTTGAGCCATAAACAATCAATATATACAGTTATATACACATACATGTACATGTATATATATATGGATATATATATATATATGGATATATATAATTACATGGATATATATTTATACATATATATATGGATTATCAACCACTTGCTAATTGGGATGCCCATCCGAGTATAACATCCCAGCGCAAGCCTCGTCTCCAACTAGGATGGTTGCGTCGTCTCTGGCGATGTGCGAGTGTCGCAATTGAGTTCTTTAAGGCGCGGGATTTCCGCATCAACTGGTGGTACACTGTGGGTGGATTTCGTCCGATTTCGTCGGTTCTTGGCCTACTTTTTTTTTGCCAATGCAGGAACATAGGAACAAGCTACAAAACTGATTTCTTTTACATCAAAGATCAGCTGCCTGGCTATGGATCCAACCTGGGTACCCGGGTACCCAAAATGGAATCATTGACTGCTAAGAGTGACCGGAAAAGAAGAGGTTCGGAACCCATGTGGTCAATGACAGCGAGGTTAGCCCTAGAGCCAACTAGTTCTAGCCAACTTACGACTCTTGTAACACGTCAGTCGTTGGGTCACAGGACTTTTGGTTTCTAGTGAACTTACTTGAGGTTCATGCTACTGGTTTGGGCGGATGACCTCATTTGCACTTGGGACAAACTCTACTGAAGGAATCTGCCAAGTACCCATGGTTCGAAGCTGCCTGGTAGCCTTAGAGGTTTTTCAATGATTTTGATCTAAAGTGATCTACAGTCTACAGGCTTCCAAAAAACCATAGACTCTCGTGGTTCTGGCGTGGTTCTGGAAGAGGCAAAACAACCGTGAAAACCAACGATTCCGCGATGATTTGGGCTGGTAGGCATTGGTTCTTCTGGATCAAATTTCAAGATGCTCCAGTGCTGAAACGAGCAGATTCCAAACAACATTTGGCATCGAACCTCAACGTTTGGCGTGCAGATTTTCATGCTTCGGCATCAAAACGCAAGAAACAAATCTGCTGATTTTGTTCCAAGCCCGCAGATTTCGGCAATTTTTGGTTTCAAAAGGTCCAGACCCAACAAATCTCGGCCAGGTTTGAGGTTCGAGATGCGGAGCCCTGGTGATCCAGGCAGGGTTGCGGCTTGCCCCAGTTGAACCACCCTCAACGAGCCTTCTGATTGTGCCATCAACGAGCCCCCGGGTTCTCCTTGGGAGTTGACGGTTCAGATCTAGGGATGTTCACCACAGTCAGAAACCTTTTGTTATTCAAACCGAAAAAGGATACTTGCTGGATGCATAACTGGTCATTTAGTATATTTAGTGAAGTTTCAAGTTTCAAAGAACAAATCACCATGCTGTCCCAGCAATCATTGCTCTTATTGACAAACGAACTACTTGATTTGCCACCGGAGCATTGGTCTACAGTTGATTGCAGCTAGGTCCGAAAGCTCTGGTCCTGAGTAAGCAAGAGTGGCAATCATCTAGAGAAAAGTCTGTCAGAACCCAAACAAAACTTCACACCTTCCACGGAAAAAAACCGAACATCCCAACATTTTTTCCTTTTTTCAATTCGACTGAGCCATGCCCAAGACGATCGTCTTCGGGGTCCGGGTGATTGGCATCGACGGAAACGTCCAGTCCCGTGAGCGCGTCCCTGCGACTTTGGAGTCTTGGCCGGAGATTTCTGCGGACGTCGAGTGGCCGAGGATCCAGCAGAAACTGCAGGAGTTTCGCAGAAAAAGAGGCTGGGACTGCACGGTCAAATTCCACAACGGGACAGAGCTGGAAGACCTGTGTGACTCGAGCAGCCTGAGGATCTTGGTGGAGGTGCAGCATGAGACCCTGCTCCAGAAAAGTGTGGAACTGCCATTGTATCTTTTTTCAGATCCAACCACTGGCGTTTCTTCACCTGACAAGGAACAGAAGGAGATTGTTTTTGAAACAACGGAGCAGGGCAGCCCAATCCTCTTGAATCTGCAGTCCGATCTTCAGCTTGGAGAAGGAGGTCATGGGACTGTGCGGCGAGCCAGAAATGGCAAAGACCACATCGCGTTGAAGGGGGCGCTTCCGAAAAATCCACGGTCACAGCAAGACATGAAGAAGGAGATACGCACTTTGCTTCAGCTGAACCACCCCAACATCATCAAAGTCGTGCAGCACGGATATGTGGTGGATCCGGTCAATGGTCGCCTCCCTGCGTACATGATGGACCTCTGCAGGTGTTCAGTGGCTGCTTTGCTGGAAACAGGCTGGCACACCAAGGCAGCTGCAGAGGCTGCGCGCAGAGATGTGGGTTCTGCACTGCAACATTTTCATTCTGCAGGCTTAGGACACATGGATGTGAAGCCAGGAAATTGGCTGGTGACCAACAAATCCACAGGGGCAAGTGGGGAAACCCAGCTGACACTCACACTGATCGATGCTGGTGGGGCTGGAAGGCTCAAGAAAGATAGAGTGACTTCGTTTACTGCAGAGTATGCGCATCCACTGCAAATGCGTAATCAGGATTGGTTTCGTCATTTCAGGGAGGCGACAGTAGAGGCCTTTTTCGATTGGTATGGCATGAAAGTGTCAATCTTCCAGCTTTCCCATTGCAGTTGGGACTCTGAAGATGGAGTTCGGAAAGATCAGGTTCTTGTGGAGGCATCAGAAGCTTTGGCCAACGACAAAGAGTTCACCCTACAAGCAATCCGGCAGGATACCCTTGCGCTGGCATTTGCCAGTGCGACACTCCGGAGTGACAAGGAGGTGGTCATGGAAGCAGTCCGGAAAAATGTCATTGCACTGCAATTTGCCAGTGAGACACTCCGGAGTGACAAGGATTTTTACTTGGAAGCAGTCCGGCAATATTGGTTTGCGCTGGGATATGCCAGTGAGAAACGCCTGAGTGATCCTGTAGCCCTGTTGCTGTGGTGACGGTTGGTGGTGCTTGGCTCAGTGAGGTAACATGATCCAGGCAGCAGCCGTGTCCGTAGTGGATTGATCGGTGCTGCCAGAGGAACAATGGGCGGTGTTGGGCATCCTTGGGGCAATGTCTTGGGTGCGAGTGCATTCAAGTTTCGGCATTGCAAACTTGGAAGTGAAGGCGTTATGTTTTTTGATTTATAGATGATTTTCCCATTCAGATGCCCATCATAGGGGATTTTCCATTGCCATGTTTCATTACCAGAGCGGGGTACATGGTGAGAGCCCGGTCTGTTTAGGGTCCGAAATTTCCTGCAGACAGGCTTCAAATCCCTCCATCAATCTGGCTTTAGACACTTCCCTGAGCGAGGTTTAAGATTGACCTAGCCACAAAAGGATGAACTACTGGCCATTGTGAGTATTCACCATTCCATTTTGTGTATTTCGATTTTGGCCCACGCCCTTCTGAACACATAGCAGGATTATAACGAGATTTCTGCTCTTCTTTGCGTGTTGCTGTGACCCCATGGTCAACGGCGCAGGCAGCGAGTTGTGATGCGTTGCTGCAAACAGAGTGGACCAGGTGAACAGAGTGCAGTCTGGTTCACCGTTTCTGCCTGTGGGAAAGATTGGTGGATCTTGCGAGAATCATTTTCGGTTTGGAAGATTTAGGGCAAAACCCTAAGCTTCTGTTGTTTACCATCATTTTCCGATTAAAAAAGGATTTGGTGGTTTATACCACATTTTCAAACAAATGCACGTAGCAGGTTTCAAAGAGGCATCGATTTCCGAACATTGATGCCACATGCTTTTCCCTCGGCGCAGATTTTAGATTCCTTCGAATGTAGGGCTTGGATTTCGATGAAATATCAGAGAGGGCCTGCCGATCTCTGCCACGGGGGACAACCTCACGGATCACAAGTGGTGAGCGACGAGGATGAATAAGTCCTGCAAATGGGATCATTCCAGTAACATCTGAGTACACATCCCAGTACCCGTATTGGGTGAACAAACCACCAATATCAGGGGGGAGACCACCAACCTGTCCAAAGACAGTCATGCTGGTCTCAAAACGCTCTATTTGACAGGCTCATGGGAAAGTAAGCCCCTCTTCCCGATAGGAGAATCATCTTCCAGGGTAAGTTTTCAGGTTGAAGGGGATTTCTACTACGTTTGAATCCCAAACGCATGGTCTCTGCTGAAGATTTTCCCAACAAGACCAACTTCCATGGAATTTTCACTTCGAACCCTGGTTGCCCAAGCAGTTCCCGGACCATCTCGAGCAGTCCTCTCTGGTGACTGGCATGGGGTTTGAGCCCCGGGACGTATTGCGAACTTCTGGAACTTCTGGGGACCTTGCCACATGAGCAATCGCCCGGACACCTGGTTGCTTGATGGTTAGTTGTAGTAAAACAGCAGCCGTAAAATCTTAGTGAAATAGTGGCAAGCATAAACACCTTGTACTATCCTTCCGGGCGCTGAATCATGACGAAGCACGAGGATATCAAACAACAACCAAGATGTTTGTGTTAGCCTTGAAAGGGGACGATGTGAACTGTAAACTCTTAATGTCCAGCCCTCTTGTGATTGATGGCATATTAACCTGGAGCAAAATGGGCATGTTGACCAACAATGGATTGGAACCACCTGGTTATAGTACGGCAACCGCAAAATCCGAGTGAAATAGCGGCAAGCATTTAACCTTTTGCAATCTTGGGCACTGAATCATTGATGAAACATGAGGATTTTAAACAGCAAAGATATTTGTAATTAGGCTTATGTTTTTCATCATGAGCAAATGGGGATGACCAACACTGAATTGGAACCTATGATTGTTGGGTGATGGTTACAAAGGAGGTTATGCTTGTCAACGGGCACTGCTCACATGTGCAGAATGGCGAGGCTTCCCCGTCGGACGACGTGGGAGCAAAGACTGACCCAAAATCGGCGCGGTGCAGCGGGTCCACCAACTTTTTCTCGGGGCTCATGGAAGAGATGAACTTCTTTGGTGTGAGAGGAAGCCAGCGTGTGGGTCTAAAGATGTTGTGGAAAAGACCGAAATCCACAGGTTGATCATGATGTTCATGCGTTTTCCCTCTTAGAATAGCCATAACTGGGGGGTAGGGGCCTCATAACTGGATCAGACTCCTCATGTTGGACGGATGGTACATCCGGTGGCAGATGGGGATAGTTTTGGGGATACAATGGTATGTGATATATGAATGGTATGGTGTATATAACCAACACTATGCTGTTTGTGTTCTGGTTTCCTGACCTCAAACTCTAGGGTACTTTTGTGGCCAAAGAACCCATCCCTTTTCATGGTTGTCTCTTTGGTCGTTGCTTATGTTATACCTCTCCTCCAATGATCACCTAAGGATTTTTGGGATTCCAAAAAGTTCAAGAATGAACAGATCCAACCCATTCCACTCCACCAGGGTTTCTGGCTGTGGTGTTTGTCATTAGTTTTTTTTAAATGATATATGATATGTCCCTATTGGATCCTATTGGTATACTTGCCAATTTACAATTTGTTCCTGGCATTTCATAGTTGTCTCCTGGGTTGTTGCTTGCAATACCATAAAGTAATCAAACAAACTGAATTCCTACAGCGATATCCACTCAATTACTGAAATCCTCTGGGTCTTTACCGTTTCCGATGCTTATAAATGATTCACGTCATCAATTGTCATCCAAAACCTATAAATAACCTATGAAAAATCTAACGATTTATCACTCTTTCTCCACCTTTCCCCATATTCTCTACAAAAACTTGGACCTCCGAGATCCTTACCATGACATGTCGCCTCTTTCAAATCAACGCCGTTCTGAACAACGCCTCGCTACCTTGGCTCCGCGATCTGTTTTCGGATGTTTTCAGCCTGAAGAGGCCTTTACGGGATACAGCAGAGATTGGGGGATTGGCAAAACATGGGGGGATTTAGTAATGCTAAGAGGGATACCATGGGGAGATATGGGATTCAACCAATCATTTTTGTGGGGACACAACCATGGATATGAGGATACAATGATATAATGGGATATCAATCATGACATTTACAGCAACCCCCGAAAAAATCATGCAGAGAAACGGTATTTATCACTCTTTTGGTATTGAATTTACTTCTCTCTATTTTTTTGTTGGGTTGCTCTACGGATGATTGGATAATCTTGGTCAAACTGAACGATTGGATATTTTGATCAAGTTTCAGTTGCACGATGTTGCCAGTGGGCAGGGTGGATTAGATGGGTCGATTCGATACCTGCCGCTGAATCGCACCTGGAAATGCCCGGAAATCTCCAGGTTTGACGAAAGCGGACAAGTTGTGTTGGCGAATGTGGTCAATCTTTGTTTCCAAGATATACTTGTGTATACACATGACATAAACAGAGAAATCCAGACATTCCTGGCTTTAGCAACCTGCCACCGCAGCCCTCAAACATGGCATATCTGGCACGACGTCGCAGGCATTTTCCACCTTGGGCCGCCTTATGCCCAGTGCCCGATCCTCAGGGGTTTCTTAAGTCATGGGGGACCCCAAGTTATCTTTCAAGATCAGTGGCCATTTGTCATAGAAAAACCAATGGTTAAGAGAGGGGTGCTACGATGTTTTGGACACATCCAGATGGAACAAAACAACTGGGATGTAAGCAGAATATGGGGATTTTCAGCAGCAAATATGCGGTTTCAACAAACCCAGTGATTTACATTGGTCCAATGGTTGAACTCCGGTTGTACCAGTGGTTAGAATGGGGACTATTGAAATCAGTGAGAACCCAGCCAAACAGTAGACTTCAGTAAACACAGATTCCTTTTGATAGTTTTCCCCAAATGATCAAAGCTCAGTTTCAAGCTGAGTACTGCAAGTGGGGGTGTCAATGATTTGATTTTCGTCTTTACTCAAAGGCGTGCTTGAAGATTGAGTAGTGATGTAACATCGCAACAGCCGCGGTCATAGTGGGTGTTGGCCTCCCGTGATTTTTAACGGCAAGATAGGCGAGAGAGGGAACAGCTATCCATTGATACTGGGATGATGATGACTTGCCAGTTCCCCAGAATTCTCCGCAAAATCGATGTGTTTTGCGTCTTCACCAGCCCATGTGAGTTGAAAGAAGTCATGATTTGGGTATGAAATTTTGCATCGCCTTGCGCCGAGGACTTCTTGTTGTTTGCACATTATGGCGAGCCGACGTTTGGCGACCACTCTACATTTGCTACTCGTCAGCGTCCTCGCTGGCCGACCAAGACATGCAAATGATAGTTGGCTTCGAGGGATTATCCCTAAAATTGGCTTCTATGTCTGGCTTGTGAAGTCATAGAAATTGAAAGGCGAGCAAACCACACTTGGGATAGTTTATGGATGTTTCTGGCATTTGGCTTCACCACGTGAATCCCGTTTTTGGTTGATCTTCACCCATCTTCACGGATTTATGATTGGGTTTATTGATGCCATGCACATGATCATTCATGACCTCCATTTCCCAGCGAGTCTTGAGGCTGTTCTGCTTGGCTGATGCCAAGCAGATGAATCAGTTATTACGGCGCGAGCCCTCCACCGTGACGGAGCCGGGAATGCCCAAGGGTGGGGGTTTATGGAGTAGCGCAAGCGCGCCGGGGCTTTCAGGTTCCGCATGAATCATTTCAAATCAAATTCTTTGCGCCTTCCTTTTTTTCAAACAGCATTTACTTCCACAACCCCCTGATGTGGGAAGGTGGAGGGTATCCCAAGAAATGGGCATGTCAACCAAGCAAACTTGGGATTTTAAAACAATACATGAAGCAGAGAACAGTGGATTTGACCAGCCAGTGTATGGAGATGTAAGGACCGCACATTGGGGGTTTACCCAGCAAATATGCGAATTCACCTAATATTTCTCCATTTACAGCACTCTTTTTTGAAGTGAACGAGTGGTGAATCCCACTCGCAAAAGGTCACCGTGCGTTGAGGGTGGGAATAGCACCACAGCGTTCGATCTCTTTGAACTTGCTCGGGGGTTGCGCAAAATTCTCCCCTGACGACTCCAACCAAAAACTCCGATTTTCGGAATGCCACCGATAAAACATGAAATCACCTCTTCCGGAATGTCTTGGAAGTTTAGGGTTTCATATATGCTTGAAGTTCGATGATAGTTGAATCCAAAACATCTGCGCTCAGCCCCAAGAAATGGTACCCAAGGATCACCCCTGCCTCCATCACGGCCAAAGTGGCCACTGACATCAGCTTCACGGGGGGTACCAACGGAGACAAGGCCGGTTTTGGGACTTTCGGATGTTGTTTTGCGTCCAGGAATGAGAGATATCCATAGATCTCCATTTCGAAGCAACGGATCTAGGGGTACCATATTTTTAGACACAGCACTTGTCATTCCAAGTGTCATGGTTTCCATTGGGACCTGGGACGGATAGTTTAGTACTAACGAATAATTTGTTATGCGTATATATATATATATATATATATATGGATGTATACTTGTACACTTGTACTTGATGCACACACCTAGTTCCATTTTTTGAAGGGTATCTAAGGTTGGCCATGTTTCCAAGCAATTTTGTTAATTACACCCCCCGGTTGTTAGTCTTACAGTCCCCCTGTCCCTGCCCTTGCAGGTGCAGTTTGCCTTGGACTGCAAGCAGCTGAGCTCCAGTGGTTGGTTCACCATCGCGAAAGGCAAGGCCAAGTGGCTCGGCAAGGGGATGGGTCTGTTCATCTCAGCTTCGTTGTGGACGGTCATATTTTCCCCAAATTGGATGTGCTGAACAGAACAGAAAACATTTATCTTGTGTATATGGATGTTCCATATTTTCCCGAAAATTGATGGAACATGATCAAAATAGCTTGGATCTGATGTTCCTCCGCCAAAATGGAAGGTTTCTGCTGGTTGTGAGCCAACCCCCAGTTGCCCAATGACAGCAGCTGCCGAGGATCACCCTGGACGACGAAGCCGAGCAACTGAAATTATGCTACCAGGTGCATGGCCCTTCCACGATCCTCTGGAGGATGTCAACAAGAATCTGTCGCATTGCTGAAACAATTTGACAACAGATCTTAGAGATTGATCTGGAGATCTTTGGAATGAAAAATCCATAAAAATCCGTTTTAAAGGATCTCATTGCACTTGCCCTCATTTCTAGTTTGGACATCTTTGGAATGTCCATGAATGTCCCCCTGAGATTTTGCTGCTCGAAAACTCGAAGCGTCGTTACCGAAGACCTGCAGGCGGCCGGAAAGGCCGACGCGGTGGAAGAGCAGAATGGCATTTCCCTCGCCGTTGCCGGGGGCCCTGGGACCATCCCAGATAACCTGAGTGATCCTGAGTCATACCAACTATAGGCATAGGGATAAACCGAATTTCATAAAGCCCAATTGGGGATGGTGGAAGTTTGGGTTTACCTCAAACATACCCTCTAGTAAACTAGGAATACCTATGGAAGTCAGCATGTTTAAGATGCAAGTCCAAAGCAACCTGTTTGTTTACTGGAGACACTGGAGACTTTTCGACAACACCTTGCAAATAATTTTATTTTACTGGAGAGGTAATTAATTATTCATTTTGACTTTTCGACATTTTTCGACAACACCTTCTTTACAAACCACCGAACCATGGCTTCTGTCAGCCCCTTGGATCGAGGGATCGAGCATCCCATAGAATTGTGGAATACCAAAAAAGGATACGTCCCGTGATAGGAGTCATTAATATAGTATCTGGTTGGTGGTTTGGAACATGTTTTTTCCATTCAGTTGGGAATTTCATCATCCGAACTGACTTTCACTCCATCATTTTTCAGAGGGGTTGGTTGAAACCACCAACCAGATATAGTATAAATGAAATGTATATGCACTATAAATGAAATGTCTAAGTTGTCATTTATGTACTATAAATGAAACGTAACAGTACGCTATCCTATGAGAACATGGGATGTATCAGTAGTATTCTATGGGAAAATTCGGAGGCATCATTATCCCAATGCCAAGATTACTACACCGATTATGTACCATAAATGAAGTTCCAATGGTGTTGATATATATATAGATATTATATAATATTGAACATTGATATACATTGATATATGCCATGATGTGTTGATATACCCATGGTATATAATACTTTTCAATGATAAGTACCGCATGATATATCCCCACTGTTGGTGCCATATGATCAATATATTATCAATATAAATGGTAAAGTCTTGCTCGTGTCATAGCAATTGTACATCCCATTGTACGACTTGTACGAATGATATACCGAGCCAGCAATTGGCTTATGATGACATCCCATATATGGGCCATTGTCAAAGCATGGTTTTTCTGGGCTATGGCCCTCAATGATATGAACCCCTGTGATGGTTTAATTAATTCCTCTTAATGGAGTGACATCCGCATACTAATCCCAATCTTAAGATAAACTCAATCAATATATCTTGTCCCAAGTTTATCGAACACGCTTTTCTCTATAAGATTGACATACCCCATCGATTGTCCAATGAGATAATCGAAGTTTTGAAATAGCCAAAAATAGGGGTAGCCCTAAATCATCCCAAAAATAGGGGTAGCCCATTTCATCATCCATTTATAGATGGCTTTTTCCATGAAATAAACCACAAAGCTTGGGGATCCCCCATGACCATGGAAACCCCCAAGATTTGATATACTCAAATGGTACCTTCCCAATTCAACAGCCGTAAACGGGGTTTATTCATCCAGGAATGATATTACTATCATTATCATATAATTACTGTTATCATAATCCAATTAGTGTTATTGTTGTTACTAATATTCTGGTTCGTATTACTACTACTACTACTACTACTACTATTATTCTGGTTGTTATCCTATATGGTTTTACGGCCAAGCTGCGTCTCAACAAGCTGCGTGCGTTTTTGGGATCGACGCCGAGGTGGCTTCTACTAGTGGTGGCATCGTGACGGCCATCAGCCCCACTCAGATCGTGCAAGGCCCGTGGCGGAAGGTGGGTCTCAAACACACATACGTAGATAGACTATATTTTATGCATAGACTGTAGTATATATATATATATGGTACAGGCCTGCAACCCCCCCCTTCCCCCCGCGATGGGGATGGTTCCTAGGATTGGGTGTACTACCTCCCTGGAATCCAACTATCATGCAAGGTACCTCTGCTTCCCCGCCACCCCCCTGTGGGGTGGGTTGGGTGTAGTATGTATGTACCTACGTAGGTTGGTAAGTATAGGCATGTATGTATGTATGTATGTAATGTAATGTAATGTAATGTAATGTAATGTAATGTAATGTAATGTAATGTAATGTAATGTAATGTAATGTAATGTAATGTATGTATGTATGTATGTTATGTATGTTATGTATGTTATGTATGTTATGTATGTTATGTATGTTATGTATGTTATGTATGTTTGTATGTATGTATGTATGTAATGTATGTAATGTATGTATGTATGTATGTATGTATGTATGTAATGTTATGTATGTAATGTAATGTAATGTTATGTAATGTAATGTAATGTAATGTAATGTAATGTAATGTAATGTAATGTAATGTATGTATGTATGTATGTATGGGGATGGTTCCTGGGGATGGGTGTCTGGGGGGGATACCATTGGGGGGGGGTTGCCGACCGCCGGCCGGGACCATATATACACGTATACACGTATATATATATATATATATCTTTATATATATATATATCTTTATATATATATATATCTTTATATATGTATATATATATATATCTCTTTATATATATATATATATATATATAAAACTATATATATATATATATAAATTGCTAGGAACTCAGTTGTGCCCCTGATTTTGGATGCTTGGCCCTGCATTTCATGGGTCAAAAGCTCTGAATAAGTTCATATGTATGGAGATTTCGCCGCAAATCATTGAGACTTCTCCAACATTGGTTCGAAATTTGGAGCCCGGTTGAAACTTACAGTTTCTGTTTGAACCAATGGTTTGGAATTGGTATAAAATGGTTTGGAATAGAAATTTCTGTTACATGGTTTGAAATATGGCTATGGTACAGCCACAGTTTTTGTTTCGAAACAATTTTTGTTGCCCCAAACCATCCAACGTTGGGAGTACCATGAGTTTGATCAATACACATGTGGCAAAACGGCTCAAAGGCAAACAATTCCACTTGTGTCTTCGCAGGAGCCACGTGGATAAGAACCCCCCAGTACCCATCCATCAACTGTTGGTCCAGCATTTTTCTGTACCATCAACTGCTGATTTTTGCGAAGTCACTGGAGATTGACCAATAAATTTGTGATCTCCAGATCCCAGATCCATATCTGTTTTCGATGGAAAATCCTTATGAAAGTTTTAAGAAATCCAAATAGATCAGATAAAAGGTGGGCCCCTAAACGAGAACACGCCAAGAACTACGGTGTATGGTAGATATATAGTTGGGTATGGATCAATACCTATGAAAATACCATTTTTAGGGGGTTATTCACATCCATAAATCCCAGCTATTTTGATGTGAACAAAAAAGGGGTACGGATAGGGTTTTGACACACTGCCATATGCAATGGGGTTTCATCAACTGCTGGGAGGCCCACCAAACGTAGCTATAGACGGTGGCTTAAATACATACAATCCCTTTGGAACGAGTTGTTAAAAAAGTGACATAAGATCCTGGTTTACACCAAAAGGGGACAAAATTGATGGTTTATCACATTTTTTCCCAAACTTGAAATGGCCATAAATAGGTAAATCGCAACTTTTTCAATACACCCAAGTATCATATTGTGTTCAGATATCCCATTGTACACTCCATGATATTCCATTATGTCCGTCATGTCCTATATCCCTACTCATATCCCATTGTACCATCAACATTACCATTTTACCATACCTATATAGATATCCTATGTCCTATGTCCTGTATCCCATTAGTTTATTGGTTGAATTCCCATTTTGATGCTTAATCACCATGACAATCCTAAGTTCCTCAGTTCCTCCCTAGCAATCTCCCGCGACGTCCCGGGTGAAGGTGAGGCTGTTACCATTACCCTGACTGGTGCAGCAGCAGATTCGAAGGTGCCCTGAGCTGAGTGATGAGACGTCACCAACTATAGTGGGTATATAATATGATCTGGTTGGTGGTTTGGAACATTTTTTATTTTCCCATATATTGGGAATAATACTCCCAACTGACTTTCATATTTTTCAGAGTGGTAGGTATACCACCAACCAGTGATGTAATGGAACAATGTGATAAATGATGGTATATAACCAACCATTAAAGCGATGTAATGGGATATAGCCAACCATTAGAGGGGATTATAGGGGTATACATGGATATAACAACTTTAGTGGGTTTTACATGATATGAGACAATAGTTGATGAAAATTTGCGATCATATGTCGTATGAGATATAGCATGAGTGGATCAATTTCGATGGTCAGATTTGGGTCTCAGTTTATGGTGATAAAACATGATAAACGATGGTATATAGACAACTATCACGGTGATGTAATGGCATATGATGTGGTGTGTATATATATATATACATATATATATATATACATGTATATAGATAGATAAGATAAGAGAATATAATATTGGATTTGATTAGATTAGATTTTATATGATTAGATGAGATTAGATTTGATTAGATATATAGATAGATAGATAGATAGATAGATAGATAGATAGATAGATAGTAAGATTAGATTAGATTAGATTAGATTAGATTGATAGATAGATAGATAGATAGACAGACAGACAGATAGATAGAGAGAAAGAGAGAGAGAGAGAGAGAGCGCGCCAAGTCTAGAACCTTTCGAAGGTCAGACTTGCTGCGCTCGATGAGTTGTGATTGTCTACGGATGATGGATTTTGGATTATCTACGCCAGCCTTCATTCTGCTAAGTACCTCAAGTGTTGTGGTGTCCAACAATGGGGGTGGTGCCCCAAACCTATTGTTACGGCAAGACCCTATGGTTTGCCCGCAAGGTTAGAATGGAGTTCAAATATTATCCTTTGACATGCTCAAAAACCTTCGCAGGGCCAGTGTTTTGGCATTTACCAGACGACGAACCCTAAACCCTAAAACCCTAAGCCCTTAAACCCTAAAACCCTAAACCCTAAAAGCCTGAAAACTCTGAATCCGCAAGCAGAAAACACTGCGTATACGCTGTATGTTCTGCAATTTCTCTTCTCATGTTCGACGAAGTCCGGGCAAACCAAGGGGTCTGTGCGTATTGTTAGTTGTCATGGAGATAGAGTGGGAATGAGTGGGATAAAATTGGGTTCGAATGGACATATCATACCCTAAAATATGGTATTCGGGTCCGGGTTTTGTCCAGAAATGGCTAGACCCATTGAAACATGGCAGTTTCAATGGGAAGCATGATGAAACTCCATTGGATTTGGGGATCTCCATAAGATGGGTAGCTAGGCATGTGATTCAATGGCTGAAGACCCATGGATTTTCGATCCTGACCATCCCTGAACTCGTGCGTTGTGAGGCTATCTTCATCCCCGCGAAGGATGACTGCAAGAACGCCATACCCAAGGTCTCCTTGGATCTCAAAAGTAGGGGTCTCTTCACAGTGAATGGTGCGGACCCCAGGGACACAGGGGGGAGTGGTTGTGGTTTGCAACCTTGGTGCGGAGCAGACATACTACCGTAGGAATGGGCACCTAGGTTTGTTTGAAGGTTGGGTACCTACAATTCCAAAGGATTCTTATCATTTTTGCTTTATATAAATAGCAATTTTTTTAGAGCTGGTTGGTGGTTTGGAACAAATTTGGATTATTTTTCCATTCAGTTGGGAACAATAATCCCAGCTGAACTCACTCCATCATTTTTCAGAGGGGTTGGTAGGTCAACCAGCAACCAGAGAGGGTCATCCCCGCTGACAAACCACCGGATAATCATCGCTGCACTACGTAAGATCCTGGTGAAATGAGCACCATGATATGACAGCTGCGTTTGAAAACTCCGCATGGATGTCCCAAATGCCCATTGGTTGGTTGATGAAAATAGAGGGCTTTGAATGGTTTACCATAGATAAACAACAGCTAAATGATGATAGATGGTATACCAGCTCCCGGCCCAAAGCTATTTTTACCAAAAGGATATTTTCTTGCTCCAAAGTCAAAAGCATACAGCAGACATAGTCCTTCTCTTTCGGATTCGAATGCCCATCCACATCCACGTCACTTCTGATTCAGTCGGCACTGTAGAGATGGTGAAGTACCTGTAATCCGCCACACACAACCGTCCTTGAGCGCTTCCATTTTCGGGAACCAACCAGGGCGTTCCTCAAGTAGGGGTTTCCTTAAGTGTCAAAGAACTTTACGAGACGACCCGATGGTAAATTACAGATCAACAGTTTCTTGATGATGCTATTTAACATTAATTTACCATTGGGTTGTAATAGCATTAATATATCAAAACCATTAATTTACCATTTTCAGCATTTACCTGGAAACAAAACCTTAAAATATCATCGCTGAAAATTTGCCAGGATATTTTGATGCTTTGTTTCCAGCAGCTTCATTGTCAGTTGGTTCATCTCGGGTATTTGAGCAATCGAACTGTAGTTGATGCCATCCCATTTTCGATTGCCTCACTTTCACTCCTGAACCCCGTCATGTTTGCTTCAGTTTTTGCTGGGAAAACCACACAGAAACCCATGGTAAGCTTCATCATTTTCCCCATGAAGCTGCCCAAAATGGTGAGGTTCCATGATTTCCCAACGTTTCAGGCCCCAACTCCCCCATCTTGTTCCGACCTCTGGAAACCCGCTTGGGCGAGGTGCCGGTGGTAGCTACAAGCTCTGCTACCAAGCCCCTGGGGGAAGCGACTCAGTGGAGCAGAAGCCGGCAGCGGGCGCCATCGCGCTGAAGGTGGAGCAGGTGCCAGCCATGGCGAGGGGTGTGGTACCCAAAACCCATGCCGGGCAAATCATGTAGACCTGGGGATACCCTCTGGTTATGTCAAAATAGCTATTGAAAATGACCATTTATAGTGGATTTTCCCATTAAACATGGTGATTTATGACTCAAGTTGGTGGTACCCGGCCTGGTAAACAGCCACATAACTATGGAAAGATCCACCATTTTTAATGGGAAAATCAACTATTTCGACTGGGCCATGTTCAATAGCTACGTTAAATTACCAGAGGGTAATGATAAATATAACAATACTGGTTAATCTCCATGATCATGTGATAATCTCATGGAGAACTGGTTGGTGGTGACTGGAACATGAATGGATTATGACTTTCCATTCAGTTGGGAATCATCATCCCAACTGACGAAGTCCATCATTTTTCGGAGGGGTTGGCCAACAAGATGACAGTCCGATCTCGGTTTATGGATGATTTGGGGGTACCCCCCATGACTCAGGAAACTTCCTGAGCTATAGGGATCTATAGGATGGAAAATCAGTTGACTGGATCTTCTGTTCTCGAAGTGCTATGGCAAATCCAGAAGCTTATTTGATCGTTGTCTTTTCCTGTTGGGACAATGATCATCGAAAAAAGTGGAGGGATGGAACGATGTGATGTGGTCCATTTGAGCGATTTTTCCGCCACATTGGGGCTGATCGGTGGTGACTGGAACATGAATGGATTATGACTTTCCATTCAGTTGGGAATTTCATCATCCCAACTCATGAACTCATATTTTTCAAGATGGTTATTGCACAGCAACCAGTTGAACATGGGCATGGGCCCCCAGGTGCTGACGACCAACGAGGACCAGATCACGGTCATTAGCCCGACCGCCATCGTGTCCAATGTGCGGATGCCAATGTCATGGGCAAATCATGTAGACGTGGGGATATTTCATGGGAGATACCCTCTGGTAAACTAGCATAACTATGGAAAGATCCACCATTTCTGATGGGTAAATCCACTATTTCTATGGCCATGTTCAATAGCTATGTTAGTTTACCAGAGGGTATCACCAACTTGAGTGATATTTGGGTGTGTCTGAAAATCATCAAACATATGGGTTTAAACATGCTGAAAGCATCAAATATGGGGACTTGACCATCAAAAATAGAGACTTATCTAGGGGGGTATTAGGCCTGGCTGTCACAAAAGAAGGTTTGCCTGGACACAGTATGAAACAGGGGTCCAAACTGTGGCAGATGAAGATCAAAATGCAACGATTTGTGTTTCAGACAAACACATTGATATCATTTGCAATAGATATTTGTTTCTTCTTTCCCAATAGCGGTCTGTTTTTGTACGACTTACTACTTGTGTACAATTGTATACAATTCTGATACCTCTGCAATTTCTGGCATGCATCATGGCTTTCGTTGGTTTGTGTGTAATGGGGTCTCCATTACAAACGAACATACCATCTGGTTATTTAACATAGCCATGGAAAATCACCATTTTTAATAGGTAAACCATCTATAAATGGGTCATCTATACCATGGCTATGTTAAATAACCAGATGGTAATTATATAAGCCACCATGGTTCTTGAGGACCGATACCAGTCGGATACCCCTTTGGAGCTGTGACCGATACAGACCACATGTATTAGGTGGTTGTTTCTCAATGGAGAGCGGGCCTCGCTTTACACATATGTGAATATTATATATATATAATCTAACTATATATATATAATATATATATATATATATCAATATTTATTTCTACACATTTGCGCTATAGCTGTCTCTCTACTTCCGTTCCGTTCCCTCTTTGGAAGGTGCCCACCGTCATCGAGATGACGGGCGCGAAGGAGGGTGACAAGGTGAAAGTGGTGAATCCGGAAAGCTCCTCATGCCTGGAACCCTGGGGGGAAGCCCTGGAGGCTGGGGAGCCTGTGTGGATCCCAGGATCCCAAGATGTGGTGGGGTTTTCCACGATTTTTTACCATGAAACAATATGGGGATGTCCAAAAAAAACACGGAACTTGGGATGAATTTTGGATGTCAGACCCAAATCATCCAACGTCGATGCTACCTTTTTAGCATTGAAACACATATGGAGACTTGGGGATCCATTTGAAGAAAATCCCATAGAACAGTTATAACACATCCCTACTTAGATGGGCCATGGAGTTAGTTAACTAGTTAGTAAATGGATTATAATTGGGATATAGAGGGTAACAAATCCCCAGTTACTAACCATAAATCGCTAATCCCATGGCCCATCTAGCCCTATCTGGACTAGTACTTTGGCTCTAAAAACAACTGCGTGGCGCTGGAAAAAACCGACCTCTGCGACGTGTGGCAGTGTGGCCATGACCTACGGCGGCAAAACACATCGGATCGGCAAACGACATGAGGCCCAGGATGTCACGATGTCTAGATCTTCTTCATAGAATTATAGAACATTATAGACATATGTATGCAATATGATTACATACATGTAGACATCATCAAATGCGACAGATAGAGATCTTGTTGTATATGTATATATAGATAATGTTACATTATATATAGATATGGTCACAGATATACCATTCTTTCTGGTTGACTATCCAACTGGGAAACTCCTCTCACTTCGGATGTGTGGGATGAACAGCAAAGAAAAAACCGGAGGATTAGCTTCGCTGACACTGGAAAGTTGGACCGCTATTCTGGTTGGTGGTTTGGAACATGACTGGATTATTTTTCCATATATTGGGAATTTCATCATCCCAACTGACGAACTCATATTTTTCAGAGGGATAGGTATACCACCAACCAGTATTTGATACTGCTTTGACGTTTTTGTGGACTCTACATCACACGATTTATGTCTGCAGATTGAGTGGAAGGCTTGACTGAGCTCCCCCAGAAGTGTTTTTGTGGCGAGGAATGATGGGGTTCATTGCTATTGAATCCAAGAGATTGTTTGTGTCACTCCGAAGCTTTTGATTGTATGTATCATAGCTATGGTGGGAATGGGTTAAAACATGGGCACCCGCAAGTTTGGATGCATGATACTGAAACTCGCCAGTTCATGTTTGATTCCATGTTGTGTGGAGGTGGCTGAATCTGTTAAATCAATGGTCTGTTCAGGCACCAAAATTGAAGGTACTGTATGGTGCTGTGCCATTTGGACCTTGCATATGTCAGGTGCCTTTCCATTTTAAATAGCTGAACCAGCTCCTAGTCACCAAATCCACCAAGTCGGAGATGAAATCGCAAAAAAAGGCCACATCAATCCCCAAAAAAACATTGGATTAAAAACACAACATGTTCATTTTATAACCCAGTGAAACATAGAGTAACTCTACAGCAACTTCCGGGTGAGTTCTTCCCCAGCGCCAGGTGGACCCCCACGCCCGCCTGGTGAAGCCTCAGCGTGGGCCCTGCTGGGCGCGCCCGGGGACCTCGCCCCTGCCGCGCTGTGGGCCGACGTCCCGGCGGGTTCTGGCGAGCCCAGAGCCTTGCCGTGAAGATCCCAGGTGCCGCACCGGTCACTTGAAAAGGGATACCCAATGCCATAAACCTCAAATAGTAGGTAAACTCAGCCAGAATTTCTAGATCTATGCTATACAAAAACATCTATAACCCCCTATTTTTTTGGGGGGATGATTTTTCAATACGGTTTTGGATGTTGAGCCACATGAATTCATCCGTTCTCCGGTTTTTTTTTGGGTCCGCAGGAGCCCGAGCCACGACGCTTCGACGCTTCGCCGCCAGAGCCTGCCGGTGCTGGACGTCACCAGCAGCGAGGCGCTGCTGCTGGCACGGCAGCTCCACATGGATTTCCAGGAAGTGAAGTCCATCATGCCACCTGGCGCGAAAAAGAAGAAGCCTGGGGGAAACATGAAAAAACACGAAACTCCCCAACTGGTTGGTGGTGACTGGAACATGAATGGATTATGACTTTCCATATATTGGGAATTTCATCATCCCAACTGACTTTCATATTTTTGAGAGGGGTTGAAACCACCAACCAGCCAAAAGTTGGGAGAACAACCGACATATTGAAGGGACAAATATGAGAAGTGATGATTTGTATCTCAGTGTTTTAAGGCAATTTGGAGGAATATCAGATACTGCTGACTGGTGATTTCCACCCTAGTTGACCTGACTGGAACTACAGCAACCTAGCGGAGGATTGCAGGAGGTGGAGACACTACCGAGGTTCACCTTAATTGTCCCAGGTGGTGGGTTTGGTTCAGCAAAGTTTTTTTGGCATTTGACAATGACATCAGACACATCCCTGGATTGGTTCAGGATGGTTCAAGAAAAACTTATTATTGTTCCATAAGAAATTTCAAACCAGAAGCGAGTCCACTGACACAATCCCTTTATCAAATTTCGAGCGGCAATGAAGTGAAAGTCCCCCAAAAAACAGCTACCAGCCGGATGTTGGAAGGATGTTGTGCCAGGGACATATCGATGACCTCAAGTATGGGACTTACCAACCACCCTTGCGGAACCAGGGTCATCCAAGGGTCGGAACCAGATTTCTCATGCCACCTTAGGCAAGAGTTGCGCGATGTGCCTGGGCAGTTGAGCGTGCTGATTCTGACATCGGGTCATCCCCGAATGCATCACGAAAAGTCTGGGACTTAACGGAACGGATCATCGTTTTATCAGATCCACCCCCCTAAATGGGGTACCAATGCGACCAGAAAAAATCTCAAACCCACCAGCATTCCCCAAACACCACAGAATTATGGATTGGAACACTGGAGTTGTTGAAAAGTACAGGGAGGTGAACATTTGCTAGACACCTTCACAACTTATGAGAAAAAGAACCATTTCTCTTTTCGATTTAATCTTCAACCAAAGCATTGATTATAGGGATGATTTCCCCTGAGTCAGTCAGTCTAAAATTCTCTGATTGTCATATTTCATGGCTACATCCCCATGATATCCCCCCCAAAAATGGCTGGCTTGCATCTTCGTGATCCCCATCAAATCCCCGTGAACTCCCCTCCATTTTGATCGGCGAAATTCATTTTTTTGCTGCTTGAAGCATCACTTTTGCTGGTGAAATCACTTTTCTGCTTGTTAAATCACCATGTTTGCTTCTTGAACCACCAGTTTTGCTGGTGAAATCACCATTTTCGCTGGTGAAATCACCATTTTTGCTGGTGAAATCACCATTTTTGCTGGTGAAATCAGCATTTTCCCCGGTGAACTCAGGTTTTTTCGCCAACCAAAACATCCCAAGGTGCCACATTTGCGCAACGGCGGCATCGCACTGGAGCACTTCCGGCAGCTGCTGCGGCGGCTCTTCGGGGTGGAGATCTCTCAGCACGTCTTGGAGGATGAAGATCAGATGGGGCCGAGCGCAATGAGGATACAACCCACATCTACCCTCTGGTAAACTAACATAACCATGGAAAATCACAATTTTTAATGGGAAAATCCACTATAAATGGTGATTTTCCATAGCTATGTTAAATTACCAGAGGGTATCAACATCTATGATTAGTTATGATGTAATAAATAATGGGATTATGATTGGTTATGGTTAGTTATAACTACTATTGTTTTGATTATCATTGATGTTCTATCCCATGTATCCCGTTAGGGACAATAATTTCATGGGGTATAGCTACCACATGCTACAACCATGGTTATATAACCTGGCAATTAACAATTCGAACATACAACCAACAACGTCAAGAATGGATTATTCAATATTTCAATAAAGTTGGGGAATAAATATGGATAATTATATGGGATAGAAAATCAACAATAGTTTGGAAGTCAGTAATGACCCATCTATTTGGATATGATGGGTAGTATGAATGAAATTATTTATGGGATTTCAGGATTTTATCCATCATTAATCCACTGTTTCATTCATTGAATATGAAGGGTATTATTGATGGGATACCCTTCAAAACAACAAATTGCCAGCTAATCAGTTACCCTCTGGTAAACTAACATAGCTATGGAACATCACCATTTTTAATGGGAAAATCCACTATTAATGGCCATTTTCAATAGCTACGTTAAATTACCAGAGGGTAATACATGGGTTACTTCTATGACTTTTTCCTGTAAATAATTAGTTGGATGTGGATCCCATATAGTAAGTCGATTGTACTCCACTTGGTATATCAACCTGGGTAAATTTCATCACGACCGAACCCTGTCCTCCCGAAGCCTGGAATCATGGTTTTTGTTAGGGAAATGATCCCCAAATGGCCCAACTATTCAGGTTGGTGAAATATTATAATTTACCCAGATCAACGGAAATTTCGTTGGCAAACCTCCGAGTTACGGACACATGTCCAGCGGCAGTCTTGTCATGTCAACCACAGAGGCCAGATGATAGTCACAGTGCAGGAGCGTGTGAGTTCGTAGACTAAACAATCGAAATGCACGAATCACTGTATTTTTACAGGTATGATATTTCTCAAGTAACTTCCACGCGCAATTCATGGTGCGATCTAAACTTTCTCAAGTAACTTCCTACACACTCTTGATTCCTAACTTCCTGAAGTAACTTCCAACACGCAATTGATGGTACCATCAAGGTTTCTCAAGTAAGTTTCAACACCTTGATGCTACGCGTGTATGTTCCCCAAGTACCCTCCACACGCTCTTGACACTACGCCTTGAACTTCGACCAGTAGCTTCCACGCACAATGGATGAAACGCTTACTTGACTCTCATTCTCCTGGACCCGTTGGTGGGATGTAGCCTCTGGTAAACTAACAGTTCGCTATAGAAAATCACCATGCTATCAATGGGTAAATCCACTATTTCGACTGGGCCATGTTCAAGTTCGCAAACTGTTGACATAACCATACATTACATAACCAGAGGGTATCAGTCGACCAAGTCACAGATCTCCGCCAGATTTCCAGGGAAACCCTCCAGGAAGCCTATGCCGAGTGCGCTGCGGATGGACCCATTGATGTTCGAAGGTTCATCACGTGGTACCGTGACCACTTTTTCCAGATGGAGGCACGTCACTTGGTAAACATTGGGGAAACATCAAAGATGGTTGGGAATTTCCCCCACGTCTACAATATGCATATAATATATAGTTGTACATCCATTTATTAATTTATAAGTATATATATATATACGCATATATATATTATATACATATGTATAGATGTACTCATATGTATATTATCTAAAATGACATGTATAGATATATACGTCTTAGATGTATGAGATGCATGTATAAATAGAGATATGAACCTTTTTCATATTAAGATCTGATGTACATAAAGTTTCCAATTGCCATGCTTGAGTACCAGAGGGTAATTTTGAAAGCAAACATGGCAGGCTGAACGATGCGGAAATCAGGCTTTGGATTGATCATGAATGACTCAGATAAGTACTCTGATTGGATAGTTGTGACCCATTGAAACCCATGAAGATGTTGATTAGTTGTCGCCATCAGCTTGCACCATTGCATTTTTTTGCACCCACAAAGACACACTGTGTGAAAAACACCTCCCAGCAAGGTGCGGCAAGATACAGGTATGTAAGATTATGTAAGTACATATCATCTATTTCCAGAAACTGGAACATCTAATGGTTCAGACCTCCAAAAGAACAATGGGTTGTATATCATCCGTCTTCAGGAATTCAACATAGTTGCATCTATGTTTAGAACCTCTACGTAGATAAAATTGACACCTGGAAACCATGATCAATGACCATTTCAGGAACCTAAAATGGAGGTACCTACCATATATAAGGCCTATATAAGGCCTATGTAAGTGAATATCACCACAAAATATGGCCTTATATGGTACAGTACCTCCGTTTTAGGATCCTGAAATTCCCATCCCTTTTTAGACTTGGGGCCATGCTGACGTATCAGACGTCCATTGACGTAGAATCTACCTTGGCTGTGGTTTGGGCCACCACCAAGGCAAAATCCAAAGGATTGAGGATGACTTGACCTTGGAACTTGCGAAAAGGCGGGCAAAAACCTGGAGTTGGAGAAAAAGATGGGTTTCACACAGATTTTCGACTTTCCGGTGATGAAATGATCGAAATGGGGGGACGATATGCCATACATGGATGGTTTGGATGTGTCAAATATATTGATCTCCACTCAAACTGGGAATTGTTATCCTAACGGCCCAGTCCTGAACCACCAAGAACGCACAGCAAACGTTGGGCAAGTGCTTAGTAAGTCGGTTTGAACTCTTTGTACCGGGGCAAACACACTAAAAAAATGCTTTTGGGTGTGTTCTATGGGAATTTCAGGATCCTAAAATGGAGGTACAGTACCATATAAGGCCATAATTACATAGGCCTTATATAGGCCTTATATATGGTAGGTACCTCCAATTTAGATTCCTGAAATGGTCATTGATGTGTTTTTAATATTCCAAAATGGAAAACACTTGAGAAAATGGGATATGACTATGATGTTACCAGATTCCCTTGTGCATGTATACACAAAAACATGGACACACGACACAGGCATATTGGACATAGACCCCACGATCACACACATCTCCAAACCCGTGACACTCCCCGGACCAAAAGGAGGTTTAGTTCGCTGGGAAATTAAGCCAACTCATTGAGGCATCATACCGTAATCCCATCCTCCAAAATATGAGATATCCCGAATTTGGGCATGCTGACTATGGCATGTTGGATCCTAAAATGAACATCATCATTCAGCATGCGTCCGGTCAGACTAAGGCCAGTTGGATAATCCCGGCATCAAACACGTGAAACAGATGATGTTCGTTACCTACTTAACCTACTTATAACATCTTATAACATCTTATAACATCTTATAACATCTTATCAAATAATTGAAACGACTTAACCATACTTACTGTAACCTACTTCCTTTTTTCCAACCTGAGCTAAAGCAAAAACGCACGCACCACCCTCCGGTGTTCACCCCGGTGTTCACCCCGGTAAACCGCTCGAGGCATCATTGCTCACCCATCGACTTGGAGCACGTGAAGTGCAAGTTCGACGCCTTTGACCTGGACAAATCCGGCATCATCGACCACAACGAGTGACTCGGCGACGACGCGGCACCGCGGCACCGCGGCACTCGCTTCGGCCCGGCAGGAAAGTGCCACTGAGGGATGACTTTCCACCTGTAGAAATACTTGAAAATAAAGGACTTCCACTATGGCATGGATGACCATACACCATATATATATATACAGATCCATCTGGGTAAATTATAACGACCTCACTGCGACCTCACTGGAATCATGGTTAGTAAGGGAAATCATCTCCAAATGGCCTTAATTCAGGTTAGTGAATTATTATAATTTACCCAGATCCATATACCATGTGTTGATCCTATGGCATTTATATACATATGATATACATTGATATACATATACAGAATAGGGGACTTGCGATAGGGTTACTAATCAGATTATCTGGATCGGCTGAGAATGGGGTGATGAAAAAAATTGCCTCGTCAGGTGAGTGCATCTATCTTAACCTTCAGCGGATGTTCGAAGAAATGATCTACTATAAACGATAAATGATTATCAATATAGTAACTATATAATGATTAGTAACTATATAATGATTATCTACTATTATAGGTAACTATAATGATTATCAATAAACGATAAATTTAGTAACGCAGTTGTCCCGCAATATCCCACCAAAATCATAATGAAATGTGTTAAAAACCAGCAAGGTTCAAACAGATGATCTATCACTTAACATCAATAAATCATCAATAAACCATATCAAACCTTCTAACATCCCATTAATCCTTTAACATCCTTTAACCAATTCAGTTATCCTACCATTGTTCTAAAAGCTGGAACAACGCCTATAGTCTAAATCTCATTTATCATCATTTTGAGTTCTTTTTTCTTTATCTCATGGATCAATCCAGTTATTATCCTAAAACCAGACCTTCTAACATCCCATTAATCAATCCATTAACCAATTCATTCATCCCATTCTGGTTGATGGTTTGGAACATGAATGGATTATTTTTCCATTCAGTTGGGAACAATAATCCCAACTGACTTTCACTCCATCATTTTTCAGAGAGGTGGCTCAACCACCAACCAGGTTCGAGCAGATGATCTACTCCCTGCTGCAGTGTTCCAGCTCCTCCGACTTACCACGGAATCGGCTGCAGCGATTCTGGGTCGAGGCGGATCAAGACCGAGCCTTTGAAGTGGTGGATGGGTGGAATCTGTGGACGTAAGGATTAAGACATGTAGCACTGAGGGAAAAGGTGAGAGAATCACTAAGACCAGTTGACTTTGGGAGAATTTGCTCGTGATTTTGAGTGTAAGTCCATTCTTATGGCTTGGATCCTGCTGGGAATATGTGACTTGACAGCAGTAGTTGATAGTTAACCGTCGCTATCGGTTGGCGACATTATGGTCTGAGTGGGTTACAGCCCGTGAGGTTGTTTGCTTGAGTCAAACACTTCCAACACGTTTTTGTCCTCAAAATAACTGTGACCATCTCTGCGATTGATCATCATTTTCCATCATTTTTCGTCATTTTCCATCATTTTCCATCATTTTCCATCATGTTGTTTCCCCAATTTGGGCTATCTCCCATTTCGCGATGATTTCATTTCCTGGCATCGATCCAAATGGAGGTTTCTTTAGCTGGGCAAATCGATCAACGAGGGAAACTGATTTTACTTCCATTTGCCCAGCTAGGACTAGACACGCTCACGGTCATCGGTTTGAAATAACTTCCACTGCCACGTTTGAGTACCGAGCGCGAACTGTGACGGTCATCCCGCAGCGAAAATAGAGATGGTTCTGCCGCAAGGATTTCCGAATGATGGGATGACCATGACCATTTAAGCCCATCTTCGCATGATATCCCATGCTTGGTCGTTCTTATACCCCCTATGTCGTCCCTATGTTTGATACTGTTTGATGGTTGAACTGGTGAAAAACTCACCATCAATTTAAACCTGGTTGGTGGTTTGGACATTTGGATTATTTTTCCATTCAGTTAGAATTGCATGATCCCAATTGACGAAGTCCATCATTTTTCAGAGGGGTTGAAACCACAACCACCAACCAGAAACCAATACATTGAATCCCATGCACCCTCTGGTAAACGTTTACATAACTATGGACAGATCCACCATGTTTCATGGGAATCCACTATTTCTATGGTGATTTTCCATAGTTAAATGTTATTTTACCAGAGGGTAGCTTGAGTGTCAGGTCAGGTCAGGTTTTGATGACGCTTTGCCGCCTGAGGAGACGGGGTGCTCGACTTTGAAGAGCGGCTTGGCGCGCTGGGGTTCTCGAAGCCGCTAAAAAACTGACGAGGAAAGAAGACATCATGGATGATAAAAGTTGATAATAACGATGAATAATAATAGTTTTCATATGGCAGTGTGTCAAAACCTGGTACCCCTTTTGTTCACATCAAAATAGCTGGGATTTATGGATGTGAATAACCCCCTAAAAATGTATCTATAGGTATTGACCCATACCCATATGTATTAAGAATGGATGACATCAATAATGATGGATACTGGATAATAGATGATAATAGAAATTATAATATAATTATAATATAATTATGATAGACAATCATGGCTCACTATGGATTACGGATGCGGGAAGCACATGTTTGCAAAGATTCTGGCGATCTTGCTGGCATAGCCCACAAATGATACCCTCTGGTAAACTAACATAGCTATTGAACATGGCCATTTATAGTTGATTTTCCCATTAAAAATGGTGATTTTCCATAGTTATGTTAGTTTACCAGAGGGTAAATATGGGTCGTGCAATTTGGAATTCAGAAGACCCTGCTCCTCTACGCTCTCGGGCCATCCGTCGTCTAGTCAATACTAATTCATGGTCTAATGACTGGATGATTTGGGGGTACCCCCACTTTGGGAAGCCTCCAAATAAATGCATCTTGAGGTTTACCGAATGGTACATGCAGCTTGGCTTTTAACAGTGGCACGCTGGGCCCGGCTGGGCAGGGATGGTTGGGTTGGATCGAAACTTATGCCCATACCCCTGAAAGTCGTGGTCCGTTTCAAAACAGATGAATGTCAAGTTTAAGACGCTCGAAGATCCAATTTTTGTTTTTTTGAAAACGAAACATAGCGGGCCTGCTTTCTTGCCCACCCGGGCTACTAGATAGCATGGAAGCAAACTTGCATTGTATGAAAAACCCAAATCCTATCCATTATTTAGAAAGTGAATGGTACCAACCCCTCCACAGACCCCATTTTTCACATCTTGGTTGGCTACACCTGGACATAGTCCTATCAAGTGGGATCATGAGATCAGTTATTATATCCCTCATCTTTGATGAACATCCATAAGCATCAACCACAATTTGCTGTGAACTAGAGTTTTTCTATGTTATTCTTTGCCTCAACTGACCCATAGATCTCCATAACATTCCATAACCATATTGCTAGGGTGATGATAATGTATGATGGCTTCTGTTGTGATAATATTATTCCAATATCATTCTGTTATGATGGCTTCTGTATGATAATGTTATATCATTCCATCACCATATTGATAACCCATGTTTGTCATGTATGATGACTGGTGAAGCGATTCGATCCGGGCTTCCGTTGTTGCATCGATCGAGGAAATACTTTGCCTCAGCGAGTTCCCACGGTCTCATGGAGGCGTTCTATGCCTCGTTTTTGCCAACGATCCAGCGAACCGAGACCTTCCACTGATGCGGCGGACGTCCGTCCTGGGGGACAGACACATCGAAGTTGGCTAACGGATCGGTTGACGGCAGGAGTTGAAGATGGGAAAGATATGGAAAGATGATAAAGATGCTAAATCTCCTGGAAGTTTGAGAACAAGAAGTTTTCAAAACAAGCCAGTGATATTTTCTCAGCTCCTGCTGAACGATCCGCCTTTTTTAGCCACTTTGTTGTACGAGTCCTGGGCACAACGGTGGTTCATCATAAAAGTGGCGGGTCATCGCTGGCTTCTCGCCTGGCAGAATTTTAAGTTGAACGCACTACGCAAAAGAGTTCCCCTGGTTTATGACTGGCTTCTGTTGAACTCCACTGATTGGTGGTTTCAATCATTTTTTATTTTCAACATTTTTCAAATCATATATTATATAATTAATTATATATATATAAGTCTATGTATATTTGGAATGATGACCCCAAAAAACTATTGTTCAGGGGGAAACTGCATAGAAACCACCCATCCTTCCAGTCTTTTTCAGATCCACCGGAACCATCACAAAAAATGGCACGATTTTGTGGCCGGAAGGTGTACTCCGGAGAGGGGTCGTCTCTGGAGTAGCCCGTAAGCTGGCGAGATACTCCTTCCGGTGCTTTTAAGGGCAGGATAGACCGAAAGAGGTACAGATCGAGCCCCTGGGGATTTCCAGATCTGCTTCAAAGGATTCGACCGAATGGAAACTATCCAGGACGGCAGGTGAAAGCGTTTTGGAAATTGCGGAGAATTTCCAATCGTTCAAGGACCGGCTTGAAGCATGGCTCCGACCCTTTCGGACATCCTGATGTATAGACACCTGTTTCAGTACGAGCAGAGCCTCACTACTGGGAAAGCACACCGAGAAAGCTGTGTGCAACCCGCGGAATCCAAAAACAGTGGCATGCGCGCGAGATCTACAGAACTGTGGGATCATCCAGACTGGATAATCGCCGGCATAAGACCTCGCAAGTGGGATAAAACATGACAAAACCATCCTTACGCAGCACTTCCTACCTGGGGACATTCTCTAATAAATGCATTGCCATTGCCATTGCCAGTGTCTTTAAAGTCAAACATCAAACATGTAATGTATGCTACACAAAGTTGGCACTCACAGTTCTACAGAGAGCCATTTCCAATACGTAGCAATTCTTCACCACAGAAGGCTTTAGGCCACTTATATCAAGATCTCATGCATTATGCCCCTCTGCATATCATGTTTTATAAATGGGGAATTTGGGCTATATTTCCATTTCCACGTGATAATCAACCAGAAGTTACAATTTTGCTAGGCTTATATAGCGCCAATAATGCACATTCACACACTTGCTGCTGTCAAAAAAATATAAGCAGTGCTGCTTAAAAAAATGTGACTCGTGGCTGTATCTCTACGTTTTCGTGGGATCCAAAACATAACCGCATGTTAGCTTCATAGATTTCCTTTTCATCACTCGCTGTTGCTGGCCCTCTTTTGCACCAGTCCCGAGAGGACATCGATGGGCGAAAAAAATCCAGATGCTAAAAACCAATAGCGTTTCCAAGAGCCCAGTTGGTTGATAATCATAGTGACTCCATGGAGATTTATATTGTAACATGATTTATTTATCATTTTTTCTATCATTTATGGGGTGTTCTGGAGGAAATCGTTGATAAATGATGGTTGGTTGATGAATTCGGGGGTTGTTGACCCTTGACAGATTGGGATTGTCCGAGTCAACCAGAGGAACTTCCGGAAGAAACGGGCCCCCTCATTCAAGACGTAGAAATAACATGAAAAATAACCATTACATAGTCAAATTATCTCATGGAAAATTATGAATAACCTATAAATCTAATTATAAATCATTATATAAATCCATATACATTATCACCATGTTCGCATCTTTTTCCCATCTTTCTCTCATCTTCTTCTGACAGTCAATGTCTCCGCTTCCGAGGTGAGCAAGAGGCGCCCCCTGACAAGGACGTGGGCACTGGCCGCGCCTCCATCACGGTCAGTGGCGCTGGGGTCTACGTGCTGTGCTATACGGTGCGAACGTCGGGGGTCGAGGGTAGGTCTGGGGGTCTGCTGCCATGGGCTATGGGGGCTACAGCAACAGGTCTGGAGGTTATAACATCTTTTTTTTCCATGAATGCCATACAGATCTAGATTTGGGTTGTGCTTTTGGGGGTTGAGTTTCACCTAATGTTGGGAGAGCAATAGTAAACCATCCAACATTTTCCCATTTTATATATGGGTGGTATAAACCATCAACATATGTCACAAATAATGGTGGTTTATGACATTGCTTTACTAAACTATGTACACATTTGATGATTCCGTGAGATTTTTGCCATGCTTTGATGATTCTGATTGGCTAGGAACCTTGGTGGAAAAACGCCTAGCCCAGTTAGTTTTTGTCTTCGATTCAATAGGGGGAGACCCCATCAATCTGACTTATAGATATGGCCGGTCGGACCCTGGGATGATCTAAGTACAGCAACCCGAAAAACCAAAAGGTTGATGCCCAAAAAAGTGGGGAACCTGGAAATCCACTGACCAATGGAATTTTGATGATTGAACAATAATTTGTTTCATGAGATTTTCATGATTTTTAATGGTGTTTTTTTTGGATAGTTAAACTTACCGGGGATCTTATACCCTGATATGGGATACCCTATGGGAATGGATGAACATTTAATGCCCACCGGACTGCAGATTTTGCTAGTATTGACCATCGAACTTTACGGGTATCTCATTTTGACAGATACTCATATGGATTCCTTACTATACCTGGCCATCATGGAACTTAGACTGGATCTATAACCAACATTCTGGTATTGGGGTATGTTTTGAAATGGTTTATGCCCCTACATGGCAATTTTAGTAAGACAAACATGTGATTGTATAAACCTGTTAATCTAGGGATATCCTATTTTCCGACAAGCATTTTTTTCAACATTTATTTAGTTTTTTTTTTTGGGGGGGGGAGGGGGAAACCCTACAATAAATCTAGAGTAACCCCAAAAAGATAGAACTGTTTTTCTAGGATGTGAACAAGATGCAGTTTCCTACACAATGGGGGTTGCTATACAATGAATCTCCAGCCATGGCCGGTAAATCCATGGCTTGCTGATGATTTCCCCTTAAGCCAACCAAAGTAAATCAGCCAGTGATAGTACCCTCTGGTTATGTCAAAATAGCTATTGAAAATGGTGATTTATAGTGGATTTACCCATTGAAAATGGTGATTTTCCATAGCTATGTTAGTTTACCAGAGGGTAAGTAAAATTTGCTTTGGGTGATGAGTGATGATATTTAATATTTCAGCAGTAAGGATGAGAAATTGTTTAGGAGAAACGGGGTGATTTAATCAGCAACGAGGGTGAATAGCAGATCTATAGGTAAGACCATATTCATTGGTAAAGTTGATCAACTATCATTTCCATTGGTAATTGAGGCAGGTGAGTAGCAAAACATGGGAATATGATGTCATCAAGAAAAAGGATGATGTTGCTTGGGCACAAGCTTGAATCATTTTGTCCAAGCAGCATTCAATTTTAGATGTGCCCAAGTTTGATTACCCAATCTGTGGTCCCTTTGATGCTGCATTCTTATCCCAAAAGTTATTATCTGAATATATATATATACAGCGTGGTGCCCCATAGTTAGCTAAGTTGGTTTATAAGTCCAATAACTATGGTTTATAGGTGATATATCTATACTTAATGGGATTATAACCCATTTATAACTGGGGGGCACCACCTTGTGTATATATATATAGGGTGGCCTCAATTTCCCACGGTTATCATACTCTTTCCCTACTCAAATGCTGGGTAAAATTGGGATAACCCAAAAAAACAAAAAAGACACGGAGCCCATGTGGTTCTCAGAGCCTTTTGGAGGGGCGCCTCGGCCTACATAACGCGCGTCCTTCTCATATTTTTCCCAGGCAAAAGGGGCTGCCGATTCTGTGCAACAGAGAGGCGCTTTTTTTCTGGTGATGGCTAAGAAATCCAGGGCCTTCCCGATCGGACATGATTGACATTCATGGTAGATCTTTACATAGATATATGTATGTATATATATATAAATAAATATATATAATACATAATATAATATATAATATATGATATATAATATATAATATATAATATATAATATATAATATATGATATATAATATATGATATATGATATATAATATATAATATATAATATATAATATATAATATATAATATATAATATACAGTATATAATATATAATATATAATATATAATATACAGTATATAATATATAATATATAATATACAGTATATAATATATAATATTTAATATACAATATATAATATATAATATATACTATATAGTATATATATATAATATATATATATAATATACTAGAAGGGGATATATCATCTGGTTGGTGGTTTCAAACATTTTTCATTTTCCATAATATATGGGATGTCGTTCTTCCCATTGACGAACTCATATTTTTCAGAGGGGTAGGTATACCACCAACCAGTCATAGCAACACCCCCAACATGGGTAGAAGTTATATAGAGTAGCATTGAATCCAAAGATGATGGCCACCCTCAAGCAAGTTCAAGTTGTAAATACGTTTGATTTCTCCATTTGCCCCATGTTTGTTGTTGAAATCACAGCTTTTGTTGGTTAAATCCAACTGTTTTCGGATGTTAACCCTTAATTTTTTATTGGATCCTCGCTTCAATTCCAGTCTTCGGTTGATTGAATCCCTTAAATCCACATTTCTACTGGTTAAACCACCAATGTCTATTGGTTAAATCCCAATTTTTGTCGTTTTTTCCAATAAACATTGGTGGTTTAACCAGTTTGTTTGTTGGTTATACCCAGCAGTTTGTTTTTTTTCCGTGAGAACTCCATCGTCCAGGCATCACCCTAACGGTGAAAGCCGCTGGCGCGGCGCAGAACATGTCACGATGCCCAGAGATGGCTCCCGTTCAGCCCCTTCTGTCGGTTGATGACTAGTTCGGGGCTTTCGTTCTGCCCAATGTGAATCATATATTTGATATATATATATATATATGTGTACCTTGGATTATATTGGATTAGGAAGAATAATGCTATAGGTACAGTATAATCCAATATCTTTTTGTTTTTGTTTTTCAGAATCCAAATGGGAAATCCCTACCAACCCCTACCAACCAACCAGTATAATCGAATGAAATCTCACGGTCCCTTCTTGAACGGGTGAACGTGGGGGGTTCCATAGTCCTGGGGCATCCTCAATGTTTCTGGGTGGTTTATTTCATGGAAAATCCGCAAATCGAATGGATGATGAACAGGAGCACCCCCATCTGAGGAAGCCTCCATGTTAGTCCATTCTGACCGTCAACATGATATGTTTCTGGGTGGTTAATTCAGCATCAACGTATAATATTTCTGACCACCCATGCAAAGCATTTTCCGGGCTTGAAGATGTTGATGGTTTTTCTATGGTTGGTAGTAACATATCATGCTTTTCTAACATATATCAATGATATATCATGCTCTAACATATATCTATAGTTACATATTAACATGATATATCATATCAATTCATATCATGCTTTGCTAAACATTGACCCCCCAGCAATGGCATCAACTACCAATTTTTTGATGGTAAACCTGGGGATGGTGGATCCGCTTGCTTTACCAACATTCAGAAAGCCGGGGTGCAAAAAAAGAGGTGTGGAATTTCCAAGGTGTGAAGCCTTCCAAGTGCTTTCCCCATGATCTTTGGAAGAAAACCGGAATGCACCAAACATGAGCTGACTTCAGCAGCGAAAATGATGCTTTGATCGGCAAAGATGTGGGAATTGACCATCCCCCCGGTGAAATCACATTAGCCAAGCAGCATGGGACAATGGGACAAAAGGTCAAGTACAGCCAGGTTTTTAACCAATATCCCCATAGTGTTGTTGATATTCCCTAGATATCTCAATGAATCCCCAGTTTCTCCCCTAGAAAATTACTGGTCGTTTCTACATCTGAGGTTGGGACGCTGGAGCAGCAAAAATGGGAACTTGGACTGCGCCAATCTGGCGCAGGCGGCTGTCTGGTCCAAGCTGGGATGGATCATACCTATCTGGCTGCAAAAACCATCCTGGTACCCTCTGGTAAACTAACATAGCTATGGAAAATCACCATTTATAGTGGATTTTCCCATTCAAAATGGTGATTTTCCATAGCTATGTTAGTTTACCAGAGGGTATCTGGTATCTGGTATAGAAACCATGAGGATGATATTAGAGGATATAACAAGCACAATGGGTATAGGTTGTGGAGGTGAACTACTCAGTTTCCACCCCAAAACGTATCTGGGGTGTTGGGAGCCCTGACTGGTGGAGAGGGGAAGCTTGTGATGAAAGCTGGAACTGGAGGAGTTTCAGTAAGGAGTGTTGGCGCAATGTGATGTCCTTTTGCGATTGGTTGCTTGATCGATACAGGTGTTTTAGTTGTCCTTGGCAACCATTCTGGGTACATGATGATGACTGCTATACCACGCCGGCCCCAACCTAATTTTCCCAATAATAGTATATAGATATAGATGAGAAAAAACGAACCATTGGTTGTTGGTGGCTAACAAGCTCTAGACATAAACTCAAACATCCCATTATAACCAGCTATATTTCCAGTTAGCTTCATACATCTTTATACATCCATTTTGTTTGGTTAAACTTCCCGTTTATCGTTGTATTTCTGTTCTTCCCTGGTTCAAATCCTGATTCTTGATGGTTTAATTCAGTTGAAATCATCATTCGTTTGGGTTAGATAACCCTCATGGTCCCATGAAACCTCCATTCACTATGCTTTCAGAAGGGTGACCTCTTGCGCACCGCCAGGTGCCCTATTGTGGTTCTGCAGGTTGGATCGGTTGGATCCGGATCCGGATGGTCCCATGGGTTGGTAAATGATGATAGATGGATGATTAACCAGCTCCCGGCCGGCAAAAACCTCTATTTTTACCCAAAGGACATAAGTAATCATTAGTCGCCTCCGGTAATTCTCTGGTGGCTCTGACCGGGAATTCATCATCGAACTGGGGGAATGTTCCAGCCACGTTGAATTACCAGAGGTTATATATGGAATGGAGATTGAACATTGTGATTTGAGTGGTTAGAAATTCCACTTCCATGAAAAAACCTCTGGTAATTTAATCATTAATCCGATTAATCCTATCAGCAATCTCCATTCCATTTACCAGAGGTTAATAGGATAGACCAGAGGTTAATAGGGATTACGGATACGTATCCCACATGTATGATTTGAGTGGCTAGAAATGTCAGAGACATGGTGAAACGTTTGGAGAAAATATATAAGACACATGGAGATATAACCAACAATATAGGAATCTAATGTGGGATATTATGGGAGAGACTACATGGGATGCAGATCACCAACAATAGTGACCATGTTCAAGGCAGATCAATCGATTACCAACCCTTCCAACCGGATTTTCTTGGTCATATGACAAACCTATGATAGACTCAGTTCACCCGCTGACTTGCCCTAGCGTTGCAGGTATTGCCGCGTGCGATCAGAGCTACTCCATCCAGTCTGGCATTGGCGCCTTGGTTCGGAGGGGATGATGCCTTGATTCTGAGCTGGATGAGCTGGATTTGCTCATTTGCCTGTTGTGAATAGAATCCCTTTTCCCATTGGTTACTGGGTCATTGATATGCCATTTTTCTATTTCTTATAGCCCCTGAAAAGCAAACCGAAATTGGGGGTGATCTACCAGTTTAAAAAGTGCTATAGCCCATCACTGTTCGAAGCATGTTGTTCTTTTTGCTCTTGGCAACGTTGATTCACGATGTCCAAACCGTACCTCCCAGAAAGCCAAACGCCGGGGTTCCCCCTCGAGTGGGGGTCTCCGGACTTCCGAACCTGGACTCACCAGCCTTGATCCGTCAGCTGTTTCGAGGCTACAGATGCTTTTGGAACAAGGCAAAGTGGCCACCCCTCTGCGATGTGGATATGAACACAGAAGACAGGGGCGTCATCTGTCAGTCCGGGCCCCAAAAAATCGCCCAGTCATGAGAGATGGAAAGGATGGAACTTCACAGCCTTGACATGGAATATGGAAGCTGAAACAATCATGGGTCCTCGGTTGTAAATGGAGTGATTAATACGCCTATCAGTCAGCAATGTCTAGTTTAATAGGGTGACATCACCCAGTTATTGACTTTAAAACTGAGAGCAGGGCCCATCATTCAAGGTCTCAGAGCACGATTTTACTACTGGATATGACATGATGTGGCCATTTGTGGGGGGTCCGCAAGACTTTTCTGCATGCGGCGGTATGTTTGGTTGGATCACAGGTGAGAAGCAAGCACTGACATGCAAAGTTGGGAAACGGTGCCCAAATCGCTATGTTCTTCGAGTTTTTCCCCACAGTACACAGTGACGTGGTGCATGCGTGGAGTCCGTAACCTGTGAAAGAAGGAATCATAGATTTATATTGCATATATAATGATAAGGAATCACACATATATATATATATTCTATATATATATCTCTACATATATATATATATATTACAGTATACGTTATGATGAGAGTTGCCCCCCCCATTCCTGGTTAAATTCTCTCCACAAAAAACCGTCGGTTAACCCCCCAGTTTCTGTTGGTTGAAACTCCCATATTTCTCTTGTTTAAAACCATCATGCTTGTTGGTTTGGAACATGAATGGATTATTTTTCCATACATTGGGAATAATAACCCCAAGTGACGAACTCCATCATTTTTCAGAGGGATAGGTATACCACCAACCCATCATGTCTCTTGTTTAACGCACCATTTCTGTCGCTTGATTTTAACAATGGTCATGTCTGTTGGTTCGTTCCAATTTTTCGCTCGTGAACCCCCTGTTTTTTTTGTTGGTGAACCCGCCACGGCAACGAAAATCCGCCCCGATGTTCGTCGAGGTCCAACTCCTGTGGCGGGGCTCCATCCATGTGTTGGTGAGGCGATGGCGATGGTAAGGTGGGAAACCATATGGGGAGATGACTTACTAAAGTTACTAAAGTTTACTAAAGTTACTAAAGTTTATTTACTAAAGTTACAAAAATTACTAAAGTTTATGGGTTTAACTATAATGCAACTGGTTCATAGGGATAAAAAACTATGATAACCATAGTAAAGTTGATGGGGATGATCATGGGGATATGATACATATGATACATTTTGCATGGTACAGAAGTAAGCTTAGAAAACATATCATAACCAAACTATGGATGAGACCAAACTGGACATGGGGAACTCACCATCATTCACCAGCTCAACTCCTATCCTTCGCAGGTGACAGGCACCTTTCAGATCCTTTCAGCGACTTCTGAGTGCTCGAAGCAGCCAGAAGATATTCCGAAACACCACCGGAAAAGATCGGCAGTTGTAATGGGGATATCATGGGGGTTATTTTATGCGGTTTGAAGTTTGAACCATTCAACAGTGGGATTATGGTGGGGATGATGAGGATTCATCCAAAACTGGGATTCACTGGCAAGTGACCATGCGAAAACCAGCCCGGCCGTTGATGGGCTTTTTCGGAGTTATGATATACTCTCTGGTAAACAAACATAGCTATTGAACATGGCCATGGAAATAGTTGATTTACCAATTGAAAATTGTGATTTTCCATAGTTATGTTAGTTTACTAGAGGGTAACCATTGATTTCTTGCGATACAGAACTCAGTCTCCAAGTCTCATCAAGGTCAAGTCCTTTCCCCCAGACTGTCGAAAACGTTTCACCGCCCGCGGTGCGGAAACAGGGGCGCGGAAATGGGTGTCAGCAAAGATGGCTGGAAAATCCACGACGGAAGTTTAGAGCTGGGAACATCAACGAACTAAATGGTGGATTTTACAGCACGTCATGTTTGATTACCAGAGGGTGCACCTTTCTGTTTTTTTGTTCTATGTGGGGTACCCCGCTTATAAAGCTGGTGAATCATGGTTAGTATTGAACCAGCAGGTGATTTGGGTGGTCGCAGCATGAAAGACTACTCCACCATGAGCAAACATGAGCAAATTCAACTGCCTCAGATTCTTGTGCTGCTGTGCGTGTGTTGACTGCCGACAGTTGGGGAACATGTTAAAACATATATCATATGTCACATCATCCCAACTGTTCCTATACAGTGATGAACTGCTCACACGTGGAAAGACGGATTTGAAAAGCCTTTGTATATCGTTGTATGCAATTAGGCGATTTTGATGATCAACTGCTTACAATTTTTATGCAAGTGCTGTAAAGAAAAGTCTTGACAGAAGCAGACAGGACGTAAGTACCCTCTGGTTATTTAACATAGCCATGGAAAATGGCCCATTTATAGATGGTTTACCTATTAAAAATGGTGCTTTTCCATGGCAAACTGTTAAATAACCAGAGGGTACTTCAGATGTCAGAGAAATGGGACCCTAAAGGAAGCCTCCAGTGATCTCCAGCCATGTGTCGCTGCAGTCTTTAAGCTTGGCAAAATCAGATCCACGTGGATCGCCACAGTGGAACCAGTTTTGCTTCCAAACTTCTGGTGGAAGCTCCAGAAAAGCAGAGTTTTTTTCTGATCCACTCAACTCCTTCCTTTTTGGAGTACCCCAAAAACACTCAACATCTGCGGCAAAAGGTGGACCTTCAATGAAGATCCGTGCAAAAAAAAAAGTGGTTGTCAAACGTATATCTGCAAAACCCGGTATTTTGTGCACTTTTGAACATCTATTGAAACTACAAAACCAGATAACATCAGCCAATTTTGGGCGCCAGCATCCAATTTTGGAGCGACAACAAATCGGGGCCATGCGCGCCTTAAAACTTACAGTGCCTTGGCGGGAAAGGGGTCTCACGCATGGTCAAGGCGTAACGGGCGTAACGGGACACAAACAATGGTTTAAGCAGCAACCACGGTGGATAATGGTTAATATATAGTGATTAAATGATGGTTTCTGGTTAGTGATACCATTGGTAATAGCAATAAAGGTAGTATTTGGTAATGGTTAATATTGTGAGACTTAATCATATGGGATGATGCTGAGTGGTAAATAATGATGATGCTGAACTGATCATCTGACAATGGAATCATCTGGGATAATCCTCTGGTAATGACTAACAGTTTGCTATTGAAAATTGCCATTTATTATGAGTTTTCCCATCAAAAATGGTGATTTTCCATTGGGTGTAATCCCCTGGTAATTCTACGTGGTTTTGCTGCAAAATCCTTCATTTAATGCTGGTATTTCCCCATGAATCATGGAATTCTTCAGACAGCTATGGCTATGTTTGCGGAAGGTTGTGGGAAAATCCCTTCCCCTTGCCAGTAACCTCCCTTTCAGAAACCCTGGTTTACTTGTGCATACTAGCGTCTCGACTAGTATATGGTTAGTAAGAACCATGGTTACATATCACACAAGTGGCCTGCTAATGTCTGGGATAACTCGACTGAAAAACGAATCGAAACGTCGACTTCGTCGACTTTGTCTGGTTGGTGGTTTGGAACATTTGGATTATTTTTCCATTCAGTTGGGAATAATACTCCCAACTGACTTTCATATTTTTCAGTAGGTATACCACCAACCACTTTCCATAAGTTTGGGAATTTCATCATTCCAACTGACTTTCACTCCATCATTCTTCAGAGGGGTTGGTTGGTCAACCACCAAGCAGTAGTCAGAGATGGGGCCTGAGCCAACGCCAACACCGATCAGGTGCCACTGTTTGCCATTGCCACGGTGTATGTGCCTCTTGGTCGATCGTTAACCTAGTGGAGATCACGATGATGCAGGGTCTGAACCATACTTTTGTATCCCAAATTGGATATGATGTACCCCTGTTTGCTGGTTTCAAAGATGACTGGATTATTTTCCATTATACATGGGATGTCATCCCAACCCCATTGACGAACTCCATCATTTTCAAGATGGTTAAAACCACCAGCCAGATATTTTATATACCCTCTGGCAATGAAACATGGCAGAAAATCCACCATTTTAGTTGGATTTCCCAATCAAAAAAGGGACGTTTATTGTTGAAACCGGCCTAAATCGGTGGTCGCTGGGGTGCAGCAAAAGATGATGCCAGAAGATTCAAGGTCAATTGGCGATGGGTCAAAACCGCCCAATACTCCATAAACTATGTACGTATATATATATATATATACATATTATATCTGGGTAAATTATAACGACCTCACAGTTCTCTCCCTCACTGGACTGGAATCATGGTCAATAGGTCAATAAGGGAAATCATCCCCAAATGGCCTTAATTCAGGTTAGTGAAATATTTTTTTACCCATAATATATATATATACACACATATGGATTCAAGTACTTTTAACATACAGCACCCCCCCAAATGGCCAGGAGTCTAGAATGTAGAAATGTAGGGTTGCATGTTTCGTGTGTCTGAATATTCTTCGAACATTTTGGAACGCAAGTCAGAAGCAGTCTTGCCATATTTGTTCAATACCAAACGTCAGATCATTTTCATTGGTATATGTGTATTATAGTAAACTATTACACCAATCTACCACCCCATCCAGTTTTCGACACAGCCATTGTCTTTCTCTCTTCCAACACATCAAGGCCCAAACAGCTTCAACCATCTGCAGAGGTGCATCGGCAGCCATCGAGTGCTGGTTTTTCGGTTTTGGTGTCGGTCTGGGGTCTCTTCTGATCTTTCAGGAGCTTGTGGCCTCAGTGGCTGAAAGCCTAGAAATCCATTCTTTGGAAACCCTATAAATATTATAAATCCATGGCTGAAAGCCAATAAATATCAATAAATCAATATAAATCCATGGTTTGGAAAGCCTATAAATCCATGGCTGAGGCTGAAACCCTATAAACCCTATAAATCATGGGGGAATCACCTCAGAAATGTCTTCGTCTTTCAGGACTTGGTTCAAGGTGAACTCCTAAGGATTCTCCGTCCACATGAGTTTCTCAGTGCGCCATGGTGAGGGTGTTGAAACGAGACGTGGCAGCGTGGCAGCCAACAGCACACCATGTTTGAGGGTCATATGTGATACAAAAAAAAACCGACTGGATGTGCAGTTTAGGACACATATAAATAAATGATAATAAATGAATAAATGTGCAGTTTAGGATTCAAATACAATATCATGTATCCGATACAAATGATTCCTTTCGCATTCTTTTACTGTAAACTCGGATATGTGAATGTATAATAATGTATATATGTATATAAGATACATTGATTTACGAACCAGCTAAAGCACTGTTTTTGCAGGTTATCTGCAGGTTATCTGAGATCGGGAAATCATCATCCTTTTTCGTGGCTCCATCTCAGTTGTCAAGGGAATAATTTTTGTCTTTTCCATCCCGAGCTTGTCAAAAGATGGAAACTTTAGGAGATTTGAAGCATCTTTTATTGCTTTTCTTCGACTTGAAGCTGAGAAATCTGAGAAGCAACCGTGTCATGCCAGTGCCAGTGCCATCTTCAAACGCGAATGACATGTGTGGCTTGGAACACCCTGTCGGTTTGGTATAATTCGCAACCCCTTAAGGTTGGAAGTGTTTCATCCAATCTTGTCGTGAGAAATAAACTGAAGGGCTTTTATCTTTCGGTTGCTTCGAGGTGGTGCTCCCAGTGATGTGAACGTTGCTTTATAACACCCCGTTATAATAACAACGCCGTTATAGATATATCTGCCATAAAGCAGAGTTAACCAAGTTGAGTGCGTCAACTCAGCTAACATCATCCTATCAAATCCGATTATTTTTTGTGGTTAAATCAGCATTTTTTCTATGTTTTCTATCTAGGGGGCACCACTTTGTATCTGGGCCACAACTGCAACGGGCATAGCTGCTGACGCTTCCGAGATCGCAGCCCACACAGCGAGCATTCGGCACTGCGGCCACAGCAAAGACTGGCATCGGGCGCTTGCGTTGCTGGAGGAATTTGTGTCTCAGCAGTGGTGAAGATCAATAGATGTTTCCGCCAGCTGGGGATTCTGGGTTCATACCCAGCGAAACATCGTTTTTTTGGGGGATATAGAAGGTCAGCCGTTGATTAGAACCCCCCCAAAAGGGGATGGTTTCCACGAAGCCACCATGAAGCCTTTCTTCAAGGTGTTTTTGGGTGGACAACTGTCCCTGTGCCGGGTTCTATTCGCAACTGGTTGTAGCCATGAAGCATGGTACCAAGCAATCACAGAGTAGGTTGAACATTCATAGCCCAGGTGGCTTATCCCAAAATGACCTTCAGGTTAGTGAATTCTACCCTCTGGTAAACTAACATAACTATGGAAAATCACCGTTTTAATGGGTAAATCAACTATGAATGACCATTTTCAATAGCTATCTGTGTTTACCAGAGGGTATTATATACTAGAATCTATATCGTCAGATGTATATGAATGTATATGTGAGTAAAGCAAAAATCCAAATAACTGGGTGAACTAACCATGACCATTGACCAAACACCAACTTCGTCACACCCAGCCTGCCCGGTGTCCAGGTTGAGCTGCGATTCCGTTTGGACATCATCCAGTGCTGCGCTGGGATCAAGAGCTGTGGACAAGCAGCTTGTCCCAGTCCGTCCGGGGGTTGATCTGACCCTCATGGGAAATCATATTACATATTACTCAATCTGTATGGGTTTTCATGGGAATCCACTCAGAAAACCATCTGGTGATTTAATTAAAATGCAAATTATAGCTCTGGGAAATGGGCTATGTTTTGATGATTTTATGATGATTTACCTATCAAACATTCTTATTTTCCATAGCTACGTTCAATAAATGAACCAGTCATTTGGCAATTTAACCTATCAGAACCTTTCTAACTTGAAATCCATGGCGACTCTCTGGCACTTTTTAACTCTTTGGCATTGGAAAAGCCAGATTTAGAAGAGGTTTTTAATGGGAAGATCATTTGAGATTTCCCAGTGCCATCTTTGATTGCCACAGGGAAATCCCCAACTGTCACCACCAATCTGTGTCCACAAATGACAATTAATCGTAAATGCAGGCTGGTTGTCTATCGAATCCAGATTGCGGCTGAATACAAAATGTCAACCGGAGATTAATACCCCCCATGATCTGCTCAATCGGGGGGGGCACTATTTTTGGGGGTTCATAAATCCTGGGTTGACATCCGTTGCAATGTAGCAACTCCCGGTAGTAAACCATGGCTCATCTACTATTTGCGTTAGGCTTGACCTTATACTATCTAGTGATACCCCCCAGAATATATTTATGATTATAATGCAATCGGTAATTTCATATACAGTATATTACGTACAGTAGGAATATAGTTGAATTGCCATCATTAGTTTACATAGTAGTCATAAAATCATAACACAAACTAGTCTTGCCTCATGGTTATGATATGATCAGTGGTTTGCTTGAATATAATTTAGTCATGGTACGAAACCACATTGAACACTATTGAATAACATTTTATGATCTAAACTATAGGAAAAAACAATATCCCGGAAAATTATTCAACCACATAACTTAAGAACATGATGGACTAATACTATTAGTGACAATAAATAGCATCGAACACTATTTTATCAAGAATTAAAGTAAATAATCAAATAACACACCATAATGAATAGTGTCGATCTTGATTATGATTATAATATATAAACCTTGGTCTCATTTGATATTCGACCATAATCAATGATATCAATGATAGTAGTAATCGCACCATATAGATAGGAAGTCAAAACAGTCAGATACAAACGTAATAGTATAATAACCACCATGATTATCTGAGCCATAACATGATGATTAATGCAGCAATACCCAGTGTTTAGTTGATTAACATTATGATTGGTAATCTCAAAAAAATCAAGGAATGATCTCCCCAAAAAACTCTGCACCTAGATATATTAACATATATTAACTAGTATTACAGTAAGCTATATAGAATTCTCTAATGTTAAACAACATTGAACCATATTGGATGAATGATTGGATTCAAATCAACTATTGATATATTAACTAATGATGAACAGATATTGTGATTCCAACCATTAATCCCATCATATTATTGATTATATTGATAGTTTAATACTCATAAGAATGTATGAAATAATGATATATTAATGATGAAGTAGTATTTGGCTTAATAATAACTATTATCAATAGTTATCTATATGGTCTAATACCAGTGAATCATTGGTTATTCATAGATACTAGTTAACCATCGATATTGATAAACTAATGATTTTTGTTAACTAATGATCGACTCCTTTGAAACCATAAGTTAATCATAGATAATGGTGATAATAGTCAATCATACATCCTAAACAATATCCTGATCTTTATCACTATTATTACTCTTAACATTCTTAACACTCTTAACACTATCACTATTATCACTCTTAAGATACCTTAAATACTTCATGAAATCTTTCATGATCACCTGGTCACATCAGGCGCTGCAGTGGTCGCAGTCCTTGCAGCTGCTCTCGCGCGCGCTACAGACATCCCTGCAGCGCCTCGAGGTAGCCTGGGCGGCCTGTGCCAAAGCCTGTGGCACCTGGTGGCAGGCGGGGCAAGCAACGAAAACCGGGGGAAACGAGGCGAAAACGCTGAAGAAGTGGCACTTTTCATGGGAGTTGATCCCTGAATCCCATGATAAATCCCTTGAAAATAGCAGTTACTCCCATGAAAATAGCAGCAAATCCAACATTTCTGGGTGTTTTCTGGGGGTACCATCGAAAAGATTTGAACCATTCAAAATGCCCCAGTGGATTGGTGATTTCACCATCATTTAGCTGGGTGTTTTATGAGTTTTATTAGCATTTTTCAACCAAATATTGGGGATCTTGGGACGGTGAATAGATATTTTTCATCCAATAAATATTATTCATGTTATAACTCATATATCCTCTGGTAAACTAACATAGCTATGGAAAATCACCATTTTTAATGGGAAAATCCACTATTTCGACTGGGCCATTTTCAATAGCTATGTTAAATTACCAGAGGGTATCCTAATATTTTTCAACAGTTTTCTAGTTTTCAACCATCAAAGATATTGGGATGTTATGGGATGTAACCGAGAAACATCACGAAAAGATGGTGATTGCCAAGAAACATGGTTTTGCCACCCCTAAACGATAGGTGAGTTGGGTTGCAAGTAGGCTAACTGGGATTTATTGTACGTCGAACTAGTGAATGGGGTTTCTAAACCAACACACATACTGTTGGGAAGAACACCTTCCTGCAGAACATTGTGAATTGATGGTACAAAAACCATGGTTTCCTGCAGATTTTCCCTTAAACCAATCCAATGATTCAATGATCTTTCTGTCAAAAAAGTGTGCTCGTTCCCATTTTACGGTGATTGTTCACATTGTGATTTCAACTGGCATATTAGGTATACCTTCAAAACTGGGTAACCAAGAAATTTTGAGACATTTTGAATCGACTGTTTTTATTTGTTTTTAATCTTCAATTCAGTATTTAATTTATTAAACATAATTTTGTGATGTCAATTCAACCACTTCCCTGTTTAGGTCCAACGTGGTGCGTGCAGCTCTGTTCACTTTCCTGGTTTCCTTTTTCCTTAACCAAAACTGATTCGAACTCAATTTTACTCAATGTTCCGCAAAACCTCTCACTTCTGATTTTTGTTGTATAAACCCTACGATTTAAAACCGTACCATTTCCCACCCCATATGACAATCCCTGAACTTAGTCGAGAAACATAAGAGTTCCTTAAGTTTGGACATGTTCTTGAAATATGATGTTGGGATGTAAAAAGTCATAAATATTGAACTCAGAAAACGTGAAAAACATAACATGTTCTGAAGCTCATTGAACACTGGTGATTTCAGAAATAAGCAATGTGATTTTAGAGGAACCAACGTTGTGATTTAAGCAACGTGTCATGGTGATTTAAACAACAAAAACAGTGATCTAGCTGCAAAAAATGAGCCGTTACCAACAACCATGGTGATTTCAAGAAAAAAGCTGGTGACTCAACCAACCAAAAATGGTGAATTATAACAACGAAAACAGTGATTTTTTTCAAGAGCATTGTGATTTAAGCAGCAGTCATATTGATCTATACAAGAAATTATTTGCCAAAACACATGGATTTTGCTGCTAAACTGATATGAGTCTATGATATGAGCAGCCAAAGTTGAGGATGGTCTAAGTTGATTCATTAAGGAAGCGTGAGTGGTTGAAGCAATTAAATGACTTGGGCCTTTCACCCAGCAAAGATGTGGGTTACAACCAACCAGCACCGATAATTCAAACTCTTTATATCCAAAGTTTGAAGGCTTGCATACTTCACCTAGAATGGTTTGAATGTATGGATGGGTCAAATCCTGTCTGTATCAATGGCTGGGACTACTGTGGAAGGCGATCTTCAGATCTAAACTGACAAACTGGATGGTACAGTAGTCAAATTTGATGATTTGTAAAACTTGAGGTGCTCAGGTTTTTGTCCTTTCTCTCTCTCTCTGTACATATATAGCAATGTATATATGTTATATATATATAGACATATATATATATATATGTACATAGACATGCCTATATGATATAGGTATGTACAGACATATGAACACATAGTATTCATATGCACTCTAATTAACAGCATAGATGTGAACATGTTAGCTGCTCCAGGCCCTTGAGTTGGTTGCGGCGAACCAACTGGAACATGAATTCGTGGAGTCAGCGGTGATGCGTGCCTGTACCCAGGAGCGGCACTTTTTGTCATTTACCATCTGGTTATTTGACATAGCCATGGAAAATCCCTTATAAATGGAGGTTTTAATGGGAAATCATCTATAAATGGGCCATTTTCCATGGCTGTGGCTAAATAACAAGAGGGTATGATTTATGATGCTTAAGGGAAGCCACCCCAAGAATTTCAGGACATTTTAGGTTTGGGGTATTCTGATTTTCTGACGTGTCCATGATTTTATGACTGTTGTCCATAGCGGTTGCATATCCAATGGTCCAATGACCTCGTTGGAATATATTGGGATTTTAGACTCTAAGGTTCTTCTTCAATATATGATTATAACATATTATAACATATTACAACATATTATAACATATTATAACATATTATAACATATTATAACATATTATAACATATTATAACATATTATAACATATTATAACATATTATAACATATTATAACATATTATAACATATTATAACATATTATAACATATTATAACACATTATAACATATTATAACATATTATAACATATTATAACGTATTATAACATATCATAACATATTATAACATATTATAACATATTATAACATATTATAACATATACTGTATGATTATAATATATCATATATATATATATATATATTAATGTATTAATAATCATAATTTGGGAGTGTTCGGCTGCATTGATAGCCACCAAATGGTGGCTATCAATGCACAAAATGCAGTCAGGAAGCATAGAGAGCAAGTCACTTGATTTGTTTCATTCATTTTCATGCCATTGCAACCATGGTTCGATCAGCTAGCCCGATGTTCATCAGTTCCACAGAGCTCACAACCAATTTTAGATGGCTAAGACCTTCTTGTTGATGTTTCAAGTCCCCATTCCGTTATCATCGTTGGTAGAAAACTAGTTTGGATATGGATCAAGAGCCTATACCCTGTAGTTCATATCACAATAGCTGGCAAACGCATGTTTATCCCCTATCAACCATCCGGATGTACTGTACCTCCCATCACATAGTTCGTTTGGTATCTTGATTGCATTAAAATCAGCATCAAGAACTCTATGGTGCCAGATTTTCCTCGACCTCATCCCCATACCTCCAGATACCTACTCTTCTTGCTCAATATGTCCATTTTTTCCCATGATTGAATAGCTGTTTCAGCTGGTCCAGTCTCCTCATCCCCGCTGTTGTTGCGGCAAATCTCCACGTGGATTTGCATCTGCGTCGTGGTTTATAATCTATCCTAATCTACCTATCCAATCCAGGCCAGTCCAATCGATCTAGCTATATATCTATATCTACATCTGTATCTGTATCTGTCATAATCCATGTACCCTCTGGTTATTTAACATGGCCATGGAAAATGACCATTTATAGTGGATTTTCCCATTAAAAATGGTGATTTTCCATAGCTATGTTAAATAACCAGAGGGTAAATAAAACTTCACTGGCTCGCCTCCCCCCCAGGACAGCCGTTGGCCCCTTGCCTTGCAGCTCCTATCCGTTTCCGCCGTTTCCGCCGGTTCCGTGGCGATGTACAACGCAGCGCTGGCGGCGGTGGAGGATTGGACGCAAGCCGTTCAGCTGATGATGGAGATGCAGAGAGGTGGGAGATGGATTACCATCTGGTTATGGCTAACAGTTCGCCATGGAAAATCCCTGGCCCATAAATGGAGGTTTCTAGCTGGGAAAATCATCTATAAATGGGTCATTTCAGAGGGATTGAAAACCAGAGGGTACATCTGGTGATCATGATTCGGATTTGACAGGATGGGATTGTTAATGGGATTATTTCGCAAAAAAAAGCTCAGTGATGGGATTATTAATGAGATTAATTATTTAGGGATATTTAGGGTGCGAGATGAAATTATATCATAAATTCCTATGATTTTCCCATTAAAAATCCCTATTTGTTGATGATTAAAGCTCCGTCAACCAATGGGTTTACCCTACGGAACGGTGGTATTTATCCACCATTGATCGATGATTATCCCAGCTATAAACCTCTATTTAAAGGGGATTTTCCAGCTAGCCATGTTTGATGGCACCAGAGGGTAGTACTCGTGGGTTGAGTGACTAGAAAGGAGACACATGTGTAATGATAGGGGTTTTCTACTTGCAAATCCCCATCATTTTCCATCCCCATTCGACTTGATATATAGCAAAACGATAGACAAGTGACTAGACAAGTGACATCCTGCTAGAATCGTGGTGAGTCTAACCTTTTCTATCTTCGTTTTGGGCTTATTAAATATGTGTATATATATATAGACATCTATGCATGTATATAGATATGTGTATGGGTATGGGCCAAGCCATTGAGTACTCCAATAATTAGATGCTTAATATTGAACACAAACTGAGATCTTGCTTGTCCCCTCTTATCCTCTGGTAAACGAAGAAAGTTATGTAAAATCACCATTTTGAATAAATCAACGAACTAAATGGTCATTTTCAATGGCAATGTTACAAATTACCAGAGGATATATCTCATTAAGTAGATTATAATCCCATAAAATCCAATTTCATCCCACTAAACACCCATTAAAACATATTTTATAATTAGCCATTTTTTCACCAGATGGCAACCATCAGACGACCAGAGTTATGAGCGGTAGTACAGTATTATCTCCAAAAATGTTCAATACTATCCAAACATCTTGGATGTTCAACATTATCCAAAAATCTTTATGTTCTCATTTTTGGATAATGTTGAATATTATTCAATGACGACCAGTATTATTCTCCAAACATGTTCTAATGATAATCCAATGATATCCAATGATAATTGGTTTTGCCATGGTGAAATAGCTATGGAGGTTTCCTGAAACAGGGGTACCCCTAGTTTTCATCCATTTTTGTTTGGGATTTTCCATTATAAACCATCCATTCGGGGGTACCCCCCCATTTCTGGAAACCCCTATATCTATGTATATAAGATATATCAAATTAATATTACACACTTATCATCAATGATCGACATATTATAATTGGTTTTCCAATAGTGAAATATTTATCTGGTTGGTGGTTTGGAACATTTTATATTTTTCCACAATATGTGGGATGTCATCCTTCCCATTGACGAACTCCATCATTTTTCAAGATGGTTATTGCACCACCAAGCAGGTGACATATCTATATAAGATATATAAAATAAATATTACACAATTATCATCAATGATCTCCATATTATGCTGTAATTGGTTTTCCAATAGTCAAATATCTATATATTGAAACCAAAAAAAGGGGTGAAATCCATGGTGAATTTCACCATTCCAGGGCTTCTCGAAGCTGATGTCGTGACGTATGGGGCGGTGATGACCAGCTGTCAGACTTCGGACCAATGGTGACACGGTAGAACCGGCCCAGTCATGGAACTGGGGATATCTACACATTTAGGGAAAACATTTAGGGAATACTTGGGGTATTTTCTTTTTGGGATATTCTTCAGGGAATATTTTGGGAATGTCTTTTTCCCGGAGTACTGAACATAAATTAAAAGTAATGTGGTAAACCCAATAGTAAACCATCCCCAAAATCATCATAAATGGGTTGTAGAATACAACCATGACCAAAATCACCAATTCATGGGTTGCAGAATACTAGGTCTGCTGGTTGTGAACTAGGAATAATCCCATCCCCAGTATTAAAGACACCCTAGATGCTCTCAAAGGTGTACAGATCTCCTAGAAACCACCATGGTTTCTGCGGATTGAACATGAGTCCAATGATTTCGCACCAGACTTGCTGATGATGTTTTCGCACGATTTCATCAACAAAAACTTGCGGATAGTAGGGATTTTGATATTTTAAGGAATTGTGGATGGACCATGGGCCCTGGGGATTTTGTTGATTTTTTCAGAGGGATCCAATGGGACGAGGTAATATGGTGATGGCTCAAGAACCATTGAAAAAACACTGTGGGACTGGCTATGTGGCTATGGATCAATACCTATTATATAATACCATTTTTAGGGGGATGAACTATTTTGATGTGAACAGAAGGGGTACTATTGGTTTTGACACTGCCATGTATTTTGTAGGTATCAGCATCCGGAATCAGCAGCTATTTTGGGGTGAACTAGAGTGTACCAGGCTTTTGACACAGCGCATAATATAGATCTGATAAATGATCATAGGTGATAAGGCACGATTAGAACGATGAAGTCACTAATAAATGATAATAGATGATAATAGATGATGATAGATAAGTGATAATAGAGATTTCATGAACGATGGAGTCACTAATTTGAGCCAATTTGTATGTTTCTTTGTGTCGTAGATGTCCATCGCAACTTTTTTTAACGTATTGACACGTGGAACCTTGACATGGAACAACCGTATTACCATTTTCAATGGCAATCCCCCAGTGCTTGGTTGATAGTCATATGAATACGAGTACATAATATGGTGTTAACCAAGAAGAAACATTGAAACGATGGGGGATTGAGGAACCACAAAATCAAATAAGTCGCAGAAGAAAGTAAGCAAGCTTCATAACTGGTGGTTTCAAACATTTGGATTATTTTTCCATCATATATGGGATGTCATCCTTCCCATTGACTTTCACTCCATCATTTTTCAAGATGGTTATTGCACCACCAACCAGATAAGCAAGCAAGTAAGTAAGCAACCAAGGAAACCAAAAAATCAGCGTTGATGGAAGAAGCAGTAAACACGGCTTGCCGCGCTGCATCGTTCCTGACCGTCTCTCTTGGGTGGTCCGGGCGCTTTCGGAGTCTAATATAGGCTGATACATATTCTCTCGTAATCAGTTATAATCAAACATGGCAGGCTTGGAATTCCCCAAACCAAATGGAGCTTGATAGCTGGGGAATTCATCGAACTGAATCTGGTTGGTGGTGACTGGAACATGAATTTTATTTGTCCATATATTGGGAATTTCATCATTCCAACTGACTTTCATATTTTTCAGAGGGGTAGGTAGGTATACCACCAACCAGAAATGATGGATTGCCAGATCTGCCAGGTTTGACGACCTTAGCGGCTAAATATCATGAAAGATCTACCACATTCTACCACCCCACTGATCCACTGCACGTTCCAAGGCAATGGGTTTTGCAGATTTTGGACGAGCTGCAGCTGTTGCAAGTGCGGAAGAATTCATTCATTTACAACATTGTTTCCTGGCTGGTTGGTGGTTTCAAACTTTTTTTATTTGCCTAGACAAGAGGCGCCGAGAGTAAAAGAAAAAATATTTTCCATCATATACGGGATAATCATTGGATAATCCTTCCGATTGACTTTCATATTTTTCAAGATGGTTAAAACCATTGTTTCCTGGTTTCAAGATATGTCTTAGTCTGAAGGCGGACCAAGCCCAGAATTTTAGACTAGGCCTAGCTATCCACATCTATCCACCATGAGTGGGTCTTGATTTCTTGATATGTTTACTGGTTGGTGGTTTGGAACATGTTTTATTTTTCCATATATTGGGAATTTCATCATCCCAACTGACGAACTCCATCATTTTTCAGAGGGGTAGGTTGAAACCACCAACCACATGTTCTCCGCCAATTCCCCAACAGTGGCGACACATCACCGGAGAAAACAACATCATAAGAAGTGGTTAAGGGGGTAATAGCCCCACTTACATACAGGGGTACAAGGTTTTGACACACTTACATGTGATGTTATTGTCATTGTCCACATATCCCAACAAGTGTTTCTTCGAATTATTCCAAATGGATCTCATTCTTGTTGGTTGTGTTTCCGAGGTTCGTATGGATCCACTAATGAGGGGCATCCCTATTATTCAATGAAATCATCCTTTTCCACAAATTATATAACTTGAGGTCTAAAATGGGTATGACCTCCATTGTTGGACATTCATGCGCATTATTTCCATATTTCCATGGCTTTTGTCTCCTTATTTTCGATGGTGAACGATGAGTCAACCGAGGCTATCAAGGCTTGCGACAATAGTTCAGGATCGCTGTGGGAGAGCGCCTTACTCTTTTGCCGTGAGCTCAAGGACTTGGGACGTTTTCCGCAAATCATGAGTGGTTGCTGTCAAAAACCAGCAAAACCAAGGAGTCATGTACCATTTGGTTATGACTGACATAGCCATGGAAAATCACCATTTTTAATAGGTAAAGCTCTATTTTCATGGGCCATTTCCCATGGCGAACTGTTAAATAGCCAGAGTCATGTCGCTGGTTTTCTGAATCAAACCGGTGAATTCGACAGTGAAATCTTATGGTGAACAAATGCCCAAATGGGACGACGAAGACAAACGTGGAGGGGTGGCAAAAGACTTCGGGATTTCACCAAAATGGCCATGGGACGAGCGGATCGATAGCTGGTAGGACAATGGAGATATACTGAAGAGATATAGCTGGGTTCTTAGTTTCAAGCATTTATGTTTTTCATCCTTTTTTGGATGGGGCCTCATTTGAGACATTTTCACACTATCTCTTTCTGAGTCGGAAGCAGGGACCCGAATAAAAAGTCTCCTTTTTTGACCGGTCAGTGATTCGGGAGCCCGAGCCGGACAGCAACTCCCCAGAGTTACCATCTGGATCCATCCAGGAGATGAACATGGACGATCTGGTCACATACAACTCCAGCATCAGCGCCTGTGCCACAGCCAGTGAATGGAGCCAGGCCCTTGCCTTGCTTTCGGAGCTCCCCCAGCGCCGCCTTGAGGAGTCGTTTTTTTTTTTTTTCCCACAGTTTGGTGGTCCTCGATGAAAACATACCCCTGATACCTGGGATAAATCTATTGGTATATATTGGTATGGTTTGAAATAGTTGACCCCAGAAAAATGGGCAATTTACTGCATTACTTGGAATTTACAATGACCAATTTATCAGTCCTTTCCACGAAGGCTATCCAGACGTCAGGTAAACGGGGGGTTCCCCGTACTTGGGCTTTTCACATTGTTGTCCATCTGAAACCTGGAGAGGAATCATTCAGACTGAGGAGAAATTTAAGCAGCTAGCGTAAGAGTTTCACCCATGAAAGGGACATGACAAACGACACCGGTCCACATACAGTAACCACTCATGGAAACGTAGTCAGAACATGGGGAATGAGGTAGTTGGTCACGTCAAACTGGTCGGTTTTTTATGTGATTTTCTTTGGGCCATTTGGTGGGTTTTTGAAGCTGCTTGTTCTTCTTTGTCCAAGAAATTTCACAATCCAACGCATCACATAAGCAGGACAATCCCACTTAACATACTTAACTGGTTAGTACCTGGGGTTACTTCAGCCAGTTATTTTCATGGGAGCCGTTTGTTAGGTGACTTACTTTACTAAGGGCTTAGTAACCACTGGGATGATCCTGGAGGGGCCAGGCCTGAAATCCTGTGGCTTATAGACATTGGATTTATGGTCCTGTAGATTGGCTAGACCATAGACCTCTAGTTTATTTATATCCATTTTATATCATTCTATATCCATTTTCTAAGTTGGTTTCGTGACATGTAGATCCTGTGGCTTTTTAGAAATTGGATAAATCTGGAGATTTCTGGTATATAGATATTTCGAACACAACGAACCAATGGGTGAAACGAAACCAACGAACATAACGAGGGAAAATCACCTTTCAAGGAGATGGTCATACTATGTCATACTTCATCATACTTGATAGGTTTATACACATGCACGATTGCCTTCCCCACCAGATCGGATATGTTGCTTGTTTTTTGACCCCATTCACTAGTTCGATATATCATAAATCCTACTTAACCTAGTGACAGACCAACTTAGTTTGGAAGGCCCACCTCGTACACGACTGGGGCTATCTGGGGCTAGGATTATACCGGTGGACACTACATGTTGGTCACCACATAGGGTCCCTAGGTCCCTATAGGGACATTGTGATTGATGACCATAGCACACGTGGCTTTGTCCAAAACAATTTGAATAGGGACATCCGATGATCATTCGTTTATTTTTTTTGGGTCACTCACTCATAGTTTATCATCATGTTGCCCCTCAACATGCCTTAACATGGTGAGTTTTTGGGTCTCCATCTCTGGAGAAACGTGTCCATGGCATCATCTTCTCCATCACGATGTCACTTCTTTGTTCGGAGGAGGGGGGGTATGCCCAATTTTTGAGACACACCCATCTTGTCCCCACTATCATCATTGGTTTCTTATGTCCACATTTTATCCCTATTACTGTAAAGCGCCATAGAATGGTTGGTTTTACAACCCAGTTCCCATTTTTTTATGGTTGGCTTTATCCACCCGCCTCTAAGGTTTTGGATTGCTAATCACTATCACATAAGAATCTCATGAGATATAATCAGGATATACTCACTGTAGTTCGTTTTATCATCATTTTCTGAATGAACATTGCCATTGCCATTGCCTGGGATTTATCATCCTTTTTTAGACACACCAATCTTCAAACCCATTATTAATTATTTGTTGGTTCTTTCCCCATGATATTCCGATTGCATCTCCATTATATCATCATAAACATGGTTGGTTTTATACCAACAACATGGGAGTTATTATCCATGATACCTTGCTATCAATATATATATATGTATATAATATTATATACAATATATATATATATATATGTATATACCATGTAATATATATATACACTATGTAATATATACTATATATAGTATTAGAGTATATATATATAATATAGCATCATGATTTATATGTATATTATATATATATGCACTATATCATGTCATCCCCTTTACAAAAAGCCAGTGAAACAGGAGAATGAAGTGACCTACCTCGTAGCCATGGGCAGTTGCGGCACCGTCTCGCAGTGGGAGCGCTGTCTGGATGTTCTGAGCCTCGGCGAGCAGCTGGATGCGACGCGCTGGATGGGAAGCCGATGATCAACCTGGATGGGAAAGAAAAAGAATGGGAATTCCAGGATCCTAAACATAGCCATGGTATAGATGGCCCATTTATAGATGGTTTACCTATTAAAAATAGTGATTTTCAATGGCTATGTTAAATAACCAGATGTATAATATCAATGGGAGATCTCCAGGATCCTAAAATGGAGGTACGTTAGTACCATATTTTTGGCCATATTTTGTGGGTATATTCCCTGAAACTAGGCCTAAAGAATAGGCCTTATATATGGAATCGGTACCTCCAATTTAGGATCCTGGAATGGCCATTGAAAAAAGAATGGTACCCGGATGGGTTTATCCATCTGGTGAAAAATTGTTATTTAATATAAATTTTCATGGGTGTTTAATGATTTAATGGGTGTTTAGTGGGATGTATATAATGGGATATTATTTATCCTTAAGGTATCTCTCAAATCATCTCAAAGTTCATCCTATTGTATAAAAATGTTGCTATTTCCGGCAATTTTGGAAAACTTATCCATCACTTACCCTCTGGTAATTTAACATAGCTATGGAAAATGGCCATTTATAGTTGATTATCCATTAAACATAGTTAATAGTAATTACAATGTGGGGCCCCCGTTCGATAGCTAAGTTGGTGCAAATAACTACAATTTCACTAGGGTTTATGGTACTTATGACGAACTAAGTTACATGGGGTTATAAATAAACTTATAAGTTTGTACAAATATTACGAAGTCATAGCCATCATATTATGGGGGCCCATTACTAAGTCATGGTAATAGAAAAACCCATCATGGGTAAGCCATCATATGGGAATATAGTACTGAGTCATAGATGGTCATAGATGGTTATTACCCCAAATATGATAGTAATAAGTTTTGACCTACAGCATTTCTGACTGGAGGTAAGTATGATTCTGTTTGGAGGTTTCCTAAGTCCTAAGTTTGCCGGGCGTACTCCAATTTTCATCCATGGATGACAATTTTACTTAGCCTTGAAACCTCCTATTTTAGGAAACCAATCCAGGGTTGATTAGTACGGTATGATTAAGCCTTGCATGAAGCACTGGGATGACTCAGCCACTGTTGGGGCTGAAGGGGCGAATTTGGGCTTTCAGAAAGCTGGATACCCTCTGGTAAACTAACATAACTATGGAAAATCACCATTTTCAATGGGTAAATCCACTATTTCTATGGCCATTTTCAATAGCAAACTGTTGACATAACCAGAGGGTATCCTTCATGGCAGTGGAAATCACCATATGTACTGACAAGGGATTTTTAGTCATCTATACCTGCTGATCTTCCATTGACCCGCCGAAAATACCAGAGGGTACGGATAAAACACCATCTTCCAGTTGAGTCCCAGATTTTTCGGGCTGTTTTTTGGTGGTTTTTGCTGTTAAAGTTTCAGATCTTTGGTTGTTACTGCAGATTTTTGGGGCCCCTTCCGCGGTTCAAAAATTCGAAGGTCGCCTCCTGGGCCGTTCGATTTCCCAGGCGCCAATGTGACCGAAGCGCTGGGGTGAATCTTCAACACCTCAACACAGCGATTAATGCTTGAGCCTTGGAGAAAGCTTCGTTTTTGGAGGTGTTTGGTCATCTGGTTGGTGGTGACTGGAACCATGGAATTTTATGACTTTCCATTCAGTTGGGAATCATAACCCCAACTGACGAACTCATATTTTGCCGGGGGGTTGGTATACCAACCAGGTTATTTTTCATGGGAAAGGTGGGATGAAAGTGGGATGAAAGTGGGCTTGTCATTTTACCGATTCGCCGAGTCGATAATGTTCGGCATTTTTCCCAATGGGAAATCCAGAAAAAACTGGGGGCAATCAACAGGGTATCACTGCTGCGTTTTACCTAGGGAATGGATGGGTTGCTGGGGGTTGCTGGGATGATTATTGATTTGATTTGCCAGTGGATCATTCCCGAAAATTCCCTGCGAAGTAAGCACCAGTAAGTTGAGCTTAAGCCGGTGACGGGATGGACGTGGTAAACAGTTTGCGAACTGGGCTTCCCATGGCCCAGAAACATCGTTGATTTAGGTATCAAAATTGGAAAAACTTTCCATAGCGTAAAAAAATGCCAGAGGGTAATCGCACAGCTGTTTTTATATGTTTTTTATGGTCCCATCTTTTGATCATAACAGTGGATGCAAGAGGCACCAATCCTGGATTTGTGTTTTCTTTTACGTCAACAATAAACCATCAATCACACACCAATCCAGTGTTTTCCAAGTTTACTAAATCAATCCCATAGCTTTCGATATCTTTCGATCCTGTCAAGCCTCTAAAGTCTTCCAGAAATTCCGGCCTTTCCCTTCCGAGTTTCCGAGTTTTGGCTGAAAAACCTGGAGGGTGATCTCCTGGCCCCGTTGGATTTTGGATGGCCCAGGCAGCAGCGCGGTGCAATGGCTCTTCGCCTCAGAGCTCTTCAGCACTGCGCGGCTGAAGCGCATGGAAGATGAGGATTTAGCGCTTTATGAGGCCGTGGTGGGGCTCGACAAGATGGGTTTAAGCAGGGACAAGATGGGTTTAAGCAGCAAAAGTAAGGGGTGTGTCTCTATATATAGTATTATCTATATATATATATATATACTGTGTTTTGAGTTGTTTTGGACTTCCGTGTTGTCGTGTTTCGGTGACGGGCGGGAGGACGACCCGAAAACGCGGAAACGCGAAAATTCAAAAACACGCGTTGCCGCTGGATGCACCCGAAAACACGAAAATTCGAAAACGGGCAATGACCAAGTCGAGCGGCGAAAACGCGAAAATCTGAAAATCCGAAAAGTATATCAAAAATAAGCGAAAACCCGAAAACGCGAAAATCTGAAAATCCGAAAAGTAACAAAAAATAAGAGAACACCCGAAAATCCGAAAATGTAAAAATCCGAAAAGTGCAAAAAATGAACGAAAACCCGAAAACGCGAAAATCTGAAAAGCCGAAAAGTGTGAAAAATGAGAAAAAAACCCGAAAACGCAAAAATCTGAAAATCCGTAAAGTGTGAAAAATAAGAAAAAACACCGAAAACACGAAAATCTGAACATCCAAAAAGTGTGAAAAATAAACGAAAACGTGAAAACGCGAAAATCTGAAAAGACCGAAAATACGGAAACAGATGAAAAAGGGGCCGAAAACCCGATAAGTCGATGTTGGGAAAAACGAAGGCGAAAATGTGAGAGTCAAAAAAGGCGAAAATGGGGGCAATTTCATGATGTCTGTCATGCTCGGGCTCGGGCCTGGATCGCCCTGCCAGATGGCCCTGCTCGGAGGCAGTGAGCGCCAGATGGGCTCATGGGTTGGCTGTTCGCCAATGAATATGCTTCTGAAAGGATCTGGGTGAATGTTGTTTCCAGCTTCAAACGGCTTGTGGGTAATTAATCCCAGGAAGATTTCTTGGAGTTACACAGCCCGTCACTTTTTTTTTGAAGCTGAAGCTAGTTTCAACCACAGCTGTTTAGACCAATGCGTTTCAATGGTTGGAATGTTCATTGGTTACAGATGTTGGAAAACCGGAATGTTTGGCCCGGCCGGAGCCAGGCCCAGCTGAGAATTTGCATCTTGCAGGAGCGGTCAAGCAGGTTTATGGGTTTGTGTGAGGGTGTAATCAAGAAATGGGGAACATAGATGGGCGCAAAACAAGTCAGTGTACAATTTGAATTTGGACATTTAAACCAACATTGTGAAAGTAGCATGGAAAATGCTGCTCCCTGCCAGGAAAAGATGAGCTCAGTCGAGCTGAACAACGCGCCACTCGCCACGCAAGACCGTTAACCGTCAGACTTTATCCATCTTAGTGGCATAATTACCCAAGCAATTTCGATAGCAAAGATCGTCACATGAGGTTGGAAATCATCGGAATGACGATTTTCTTGCCGTTTTACACTAGATTGAAGAATTCCTCTGTATCGCGTGCTTCCTTCGAATATATGTCTAGAACGTGCTTTGTGGATATGTCTCTACGATCTAGCTATGCCTATCTATATAGTTCTAGAACCCTTGAACCCCCTGATTCACATCGCAGGAGGAAAGATTACATCATTTATAGATAGATATATATATATATAGATGTTTATAGATATTTATAGTGACAATTAACGACAATTATGTACAAAGCCGGTCACTATATGCTACTACATTTATGCGACACAAACAATCTATGGTGACGTTTGGGCCTCTTTGATTTCACTTGCGTCCTCTGAGTGTGTACGCAGTCCTCGTTGCTCAGGAACAGATTTTCTATGATGTACGCAGATGGTGGTTCGGCCTAGGGTTGGCTTGTCGTTGTGGCGGTTATTTGGATCGCTGTGGGCGTAGCTTTGTAGGCGAAGCGATGACAGAACTGCGTGGCAAGGAATTTGTTGCACGCGCCTGCACTGTTTCCCGTATGCATTTTTTTTGGGGGGGACCGTTTGTGGTTCTGTATAAATTTGTATACCCCAGAACGTTGGCTTTCTCCACGTTTTGGATACACGTAGCGCCGTATAATATACTGTTGTTGGGCAGTCATGCGTGTCATCGAAAATGCAAACCGATCTGTTTATCTTCCTGCTCTTGCTGTCCCAGAACGTCGGTTCAAACCACGTTTTGGCTCTAGATAGCCTCCACGATGTCACGGTTTCCGAATATCCTCCTGTGTAGCGACATACCCCAGAACGTTGGTTCTCGCCACGTTTTGGATATACGGAGTGCCTTATAATATACTGCGGCGCGTCCAGCGCCTCAAAGCGGTCGTCCGGAGCGCTGCCCGGCAGAGCCTGCGCTGTTCCCGTAGGAGGGACACACACAGGGCCTGGGTGGCCCGGGTCGCACGCCAAGTGCGACAGCTGGTGGCGCAGCTGAGCCAAAACTGAGGCCGGGGAGTGCGACTGGGGCCCGGAATGAGCATGAGCAATCATTTAATTATTCGCAAAAGGCCACTTGCGCTTCATCCACATGTGTAGAATGTTGGACGAAGTTTTTCGCAAGAATTCGTCACATGCTACTTGCATTGGTAGTTTCTGAAAACAATGCAAACTCATAAAACTTGCAGATGTTCCCAACCCATGTAAGCAAATCGGGACGATATTCAAAGCATTCACATTGCTGCGTGCATGGCCCAGGATCCTTGAACACGAAGTGTCTTGGATTCTAGGGCAGCATTTGACTACGGATTTCGTTCGGGGATAAAACCGGTCTCTGCTTTTCAAACTCCTAACGCTTGTATATTTTCAAATCCGTTACCGTTTTGCATGTTTGGCACGCGATGGAAATCGACAATCTTTGAACTCCAAATTGGCTACCTTCTACTTCCCGGATTTCGTTCATGGAAACAAAATGGCCTCTATCCTTCGAAACCTCCACGTAGCCATCCTCGGATACACGTTTTTTCCCGAATGCGTAGCGAAGGGTTCCCGTTTATAGTCTGGGGGTCTGGGGGCTGGACCCTTGTTCGCCTCGAGTGGCTCGTCGGGTCGGCGTCGCGTCGTCGTCGGGTCGGCGTCCTGTCGTCGTCGCGTCGTTAATTCCGTGTCTATGGGGGAAGCTGCAAAACCTCTCCTTTTCGAAGGTTTCCAAGCAAGTTGTCATGTTGTTTTGCTGCACCCACGTGTCTCGTCTCGAGTCTCTGGTTTTCCTGTGGCGTCTCCGTGTCTATGGGGGAAGCTGCAAAACCTCTCCTTTTCGAAGGTTTCCACGCAGGTTGTCATGTCGTTTTGCGTGGCAGGCGTGGCACTTTGTGACATTCCAACCTGTTTGATAACGCGTCGAAAGTGTCAAAATTGGAGGACGTCTTGCACGAAATGCTCGTTTTGCTGCGCCCACGTGTCTCGTCTCAAGCCTCTGGTGACACGTCGCCGTGTCTATGGAGGAAGCTGCAAAACCTCTCCTTTTCGAAGGTTTCCAAGCAGGTTGTCATGTCGTTTTGCGTGGCAGGCGTGGCACTTGGTGTGACATTCAATTCCAACCTGTTTTAAACCGTGTCGAAATTTCTTTTGAGTGGCTGCCGCAACAATGCACTCCACACTTTACATTCTACACTTTACACTCCACACTCTACACTCAACACTCTACACTCCTCACCACACTCTACACTCTACACCCCACACTCAGCCACACACTACACTTTAAACACTCCACCTCCTCACTCCACACTTTACACTCCACACTGCACACTTTACACTCCACACTCCACACTCCACACTTTACACGCCACACTTTACACTCCACACTCTACTCTTTACACTCTACACTTTACACTCTACACTCCACACTCCACACTTTACACACTCTACACTCCCCACTCCACACTCCTTATTTTAGACTCCACACTCCACACTCCACACTCCACACTCTACACTGCACACTCCACACTCTACACTCCACACTCCACACTCAACACTCTACACTTTACACTCTACACTTGACAGTCTACACTCCACACTCCAAAATCCACACTTTCCACGCTCTACACTCCACACTCCACACTCCACACACTACACTTTACACTCCACACTCCGCACTCCACACTTTACACTTTACACTTTACACTCTACACTCCACACTCTACACTTTACACTCCACACTTTACACTTTGCACTTTGCACTTTACACTCCTCACTCCACACTTTACACTCCACACTTTACACTCCACACTCCACCCTCTACACTTTAGACACTACACTTTACACTCCACACTCCACACTTTACACACTCTACACTCCCCACTCCACACTCCTTATTTTAGACTCCACACTCCACACTCCACACTCCACACTCCACACTCCGCACTCTACACTGCACACTCCACACTCTACACTCCACACTCCACACTCCACACTCTACACTTTACACTCTACACTTGACACTCTACACTCCACACTCCACAATCCACACTTTCCACGCTCTACACTCCACACTCCACACACTACACTTTACACTCCACACTCCGCACTCCACACTTTACACTTTACACTTTACACTCTACACTCCACACTCTACACTCCACACTCTACACTTTACACACTCTGCGGTCCCCACTCCACACTTTACCCTCCACACTCCTTACTTTACACTACACTCCACGCTCTACACTTTCCACTCCACACTCCACACTCCACACTCTACACTTTACACTCCACACTCCACACTCTACACTTTACATTTTTCACTTCTCACTCCACACTTTACACTTTACACTCCACACTCCACACTTTGCACTCTACACCCCGCACTCCACACTCAAAACTTCCCACTTTACACTCCACACCCTACACTTTACACTTTACACTCTACACTTTACACTTTACACTCCACACTTTACACTCTACACTCTACACTCCACACTTTACACGTTACACTGTACACTCCTCACTCCACACTTTACACTCCTCACTCCACACTCTACTCTCCACACTCCACACTCTACACTCCACACTCCACACTTTACACTCCACACTTTACACTCCACACTCTACACTTTACACTCTACACTTTACACTCTACACTCCACACTCTACACTTTACACACTCTACACTCCCCACTCCACACTCCTTACTTTCCACTCCACACTCCACACTCTACACTTTCCACTCCACACTCCACACTCTTTATTTTCCACTCCACACCGCAGACTGGTAACAGGGGAAATATGTACAAGACTGTTCAAATAAACTATTGCAGAAAAGTGTTCTGCGTGACTGCATATCCATGTGTTTCGACATCTGTACCATTAACATACGTGTGAGCATTCGGGTTCGTGGGCTGCATCTTGTTTGTGTGGCATAGACTTCAGAATGGTTTAATTCCAAATGGGCGTCCCTTTGTGCATGCAAGTTTCTTTTCAAATGGTGCCAATCATCGTGAGCTCCAAGGTTGGTTATTTTCCAATCAAAGGAGAACGCATTTTGTTTGAGAATGCGTTGGCTGTTGGTGTTGCTTTGTATTTCCCGGCCTTGTGAGACCTGATCTCTGTCTTTCGGTAAAACAACTGGCACTAGCATACAGTATTCTGTAGGGAATATGATGATTTCACATGTCACATGTCAAGGCCAGTGGTTGCGTGTTTTTTTTTTGTGGCCAGCTAGATTTTCAACCCTCAAAGTTGACCCAAGAAAAAGTGAAGATGCTGTCCAAGAAGCTCGAAGAGGTTCCCTTGGGTTTCGGTCAAAGGGCAGCAGGACTACCAAAAGAATTTAGTGCTACTCCCATCGCAGGCGAGGCAACTGCTTCGCTTCTCAGAGAGCGAGAATGCAGCTCTCCGAGCCAAGCGACACTGGGTCGCATGAGTGGGGATTGTGGTGAGAGTATTGCCCCAGCGAGTTCCGCAAAAGTGGTCCTTGTTGGAGGTTTTCAAGGCTTCATGACATCGTTTCGTGTGGGCACTTCGTGACATTCCAGCAGGTTTCATATAGCGTGTCAAAAGTCGTTTTGCGTGACGGGCGCATCGTTTTCAGAAGATGACTTGCATTTTTGCTGGCAGGCGCAGTACTTTAGTGTGTGTGGGGTTCTTGTTTTTGGCTTTGTATCCCATGGTCTGCCCGCCTTCTCCCTGGTAGGACTTGGGCAAGACTATCTGGAGTGGACCCTGTGTGGCGAATTCAGCCACTGCAGGGTCCAGGTCACCTTCGACGGTGATACGGGCGCTGCCCTGGGGTGCCAAGTTGTCCAAGACACTGCACCACAATGGCCAAAAGCCCGGATGCAGTTGGTGGATTGCGGGGCTTGAAAGAGAATGCACATATCATATTTCCCCAAGGCATTTCGGTTTTACAATTCATCCAGTCGGGAAGGCTCTTTCACAGGGCCCCATACATTTCCCCCCATTGTTCAAACCAGACTTGACTTGGAAATGTTGGGCGCAAAGAAAATGCAAACATGCAATGAGACAATTCGTGAATGAAGAAGACCCCAAAGTAATCCCAAGATTGATAGCACGCATTGTCTTTCCTCGCATTGCCGGTGCTGCAGTTTGGCGCATGGAGCATGGCTTGGAGCCTTAGGTGCGGTTGCTTGCGGTGTTAATTTTTGCTACTGGGGTTTTGAGGTTTGTAAGATTTTGTAAGCTTTTTGAATTGTTAAACTTTTTGAGAGCGCCAAGAAGTTTGAACTCGTCGCGCTTTGAATGTTCGAAATTGCATGTGTTTGACAGCCCGGACCATTTTTATGCTTCTGCGCTTTGGTTTGTTAAATTTTTGATCTGTCCGAGAGCGTGTGCATTTTTGATATTTTGGCTCTTTTTGAAGCCTCGATTTTTTTCATGTCTCAACGCTCCAGCTCCTGCCATCTTGAAACTCCTTGCAACTATTTTGTTGAAATCTTTAGTTTTTGAATTTCCTGATGGCAACTACGATTTGCTGTTTGTCTTGTTTTGAAATTTAAAAATTTTCTGAGCGCAACCCCCGTTTTGGTGTTTTTACGGTTTTTGAATTTTTGAATTTTGGAATGTTCTGAGAGCAACCACCGTTTTTGCGTTTTTGCGGTTTTTGAATTTTTGAAATTTCTGAGAGCAACATAGAGCAACCACCGTTTTTGATTTTTTGTGATTTTTGACTTTTGCGACTTTTGATTTTTTGCGATTTTTGAATTTTTGCGGTTTTGGAATGTTTACGGTGGTTGAATTTTTGAATTTTTGATCTTTCCGAGAGCAACCACCGTTTTTGCGTTTTTGCGGTTTTTGAATTTTTGAATTTTCTGAGAGCAACCACCGTTTTTGCGTTTTTTGAATTTTGAATTTTCTGAGAGCAACCAGCGTTTTTGCATTTTTTGCGGTTTTTGAATTTTTGAAATTTCGCAAATTTTCTTGCCCCGTCACCTAAAGGTAATATCGCTCATTTCGTGGCTTTAGTATATATATATAGAGTAATATATATATATAGTAATATATATATATATATACATAGTAATATATATATATAAGATTATTTCATGGAATATAACTCAGAATTATTGTAGGTTGAAATATCTAGTTGAACTGTTGGGTTTATCGTGATTATAAACATCATTAGATAGGTACTGTAACAATTAAATCAATTTATAACTGGGGGGCACCACCTTTGCGGTGAGGGGTGGATATTTCATGGGGACATCATTTGGATATTTCATGGGGACATCATTGGGATATTTCCTTGGGAAAACGTGTGATTCGCAACCACAAGTTATGGCATTTTTGGATGGAGAAAATGATGATTCACCACTAAGCTCATGAGGTGAAAAGTGATTGTTTGTCCCGATTTACATCCAATCTATGGCATCAAAAACATTGGGGAATTCATCTTTGAATCCATGGGATGGAGTGGGGGTCCATTCTCTGCCAGCATAGACTCAGCCAGACGCTGCCATTCATGGCGGTTGGAAGACTGGTAGTTCAGGGACTATGTTAGTTGAGGGGATAGTAACTTCGATAACCAACAGCTTATGAATATAAATGGGTGGTAAATATGTAACGAAAATGGAGATCAATGGATGTAATAAATGGGTATAAATGGACTGAGCTTCAGGGTTGTTCCGACCGATTACGCGGTTGGTTAACTCCCTACAGTTTACCATGTTTCCGTTATTTGTTCGTTGGTTAAATCCATTAAATCCCTATGATTACTGCGGTTCGCCACGGTTCGCCCGGTTGCTGATTGCCACCACAATCATGTGGTGCCTCTTGACCCGTAAAAGCGAAACATAGTCAAACTGATGCTGAGGGGAATTGGTTTCCTGCGTATTTACAATATATGGATTGTGTTCCACAATTAGGATTATGATATTAATATAAAATATACATATATAGGGATGTAAATACATAGTACTGGATATCAGATAACACTTGTGCCATTATGGTTAATACATCCAGGCCATAATTGTTACCTGTTTATATTACCTGTGTATATTTAAATATATATATATAGATATATAAATATACACCACCAGAATGAATAGATACACATGCTTATATATAGCTATGCTTATGATTATGATATTCGCCTATTCACCATTCTTTACCCTTTTGATACTCCCCGAGCCAAACCTGGTCCGACTCAGCTCAAACTCTTCATGACTTGGGGCGCAGATAGGAGGTGTTTGATATTGGGGGTGTTGGAACTATTTGGCAAATCAGGGTTAGGGTGAAAAATACCACCCCCCCACTTGTTCACAATTGATAATCGCTATTTACCAATCAGAAACTTGAGTTGCCCCATTTTTCTTTGCCAAAATATTGGGGCAACAGCGACAATTTATCTTCCTATCCCCTGCGATTTTTGCTGCCTCAAGTCCCCAAGTCCCCAAGCTCCCAAGCTGCCAAGGCATTTCGACTGGCACTGTACGGCTGGGAGCGGTGAAAATGGGTCGTTTTTTGGGTGCGCCCGGGGCGAGGTCACCGTAAAATGATAGAGGAATCATCACCAAGTCATGGCTTTATTTGCAGTTTTAGACATATGGAAGTTTCCTAAGTCATGGGACCCCAAATCATCCAAGTCATGGATGACCATTTTAGTATTGAAACCCATGGTGACTTGGGGATCCCCCATTTTAAAAAGGTTCCCTGGTATAGTTGTTTGCCCAGATTATGGACATTGTAATGATTTTTGATTGGTATACTACTCGTCATAAATGAGCAGGAAGGCTTCGGTTCGTTTAGTAGTAGTAGCAGCAGCAGTAGTAGTAGTAGTAGCAGCAGCAGCAGTAGCAGTAGCAGTAGCAGCAGTAGCAGTAGCAGTAGCAGTAGCAGTAGCAGTAGCAGTAGCAGTAGCAGTAGCAGTAGCAGTAGCAGCAGCAGCAGCAGCAGCAGGAGTAGTAGTAGTAGTAGTAGTAGTACTAGTAGTAGCAGTAGCAGTAGCAGCAGCAGCAGTAGCAGTAGTAGTAGTAGTAGTAGGAATAGGAGTAGGAGTGGCAGTGGCAGTGGCAGTGGCAGTGGCAGTAGCAGTAGCAGTAGCAGTAGCAGTAGTAGTGGTGATAGCAGTAGCAGTAGCAGTAGCAGCAGTAGCAGCAGTAGCAGCAGTAGCAGTAATAGCAGTAGTAGCAGTAGTAGCAGTAGTAGCAGTAGTAGCAGCCGGCACTCCGCCGACTGATCACTTGCAATTCCTGCTGCAGCATCTTGGCAGATCATGTTCCTCAGAACTCGATTCATTCCAAGTGATTTCTCTCTCGAATTTGATTTTCAGTTCGCAAGAGTCATTTTCGGACCCCCCTGGAAGCTTACAACATGAATATTGAGAATGTGGAACCGGTTCGGTTCCATTTGGTTTGCTTTAGACCAATACGACGGTTCGTTTCCTGAACGGTTCGGTTCCCGGTTCACGGTTCGTTTCCTAAGCAGATCCCCATTTTGGTAGAGCGGGTGGGTACTCCCGATTCCAATGGACCATCATCATTTTTCCCATTGAATTGCCAATTGCCCCTTACTTACTGGTGCTTAGTATGGAATTTTCGGGAATGATCCATAATCACTAGTAATAATCATCCCAGCAACCCCCAGCAACCCATCCATTTCCTACTAACTAAGCACCAGGAAGTCATTTTGCCCATTGAATTGCCATTTGATAGGGCATGCCCCATTTTCCGACACAACCACGTAAAATCACGTAAATTTTTCCATGACCCAAATCCTTGAGGCAGACACATGGCTGTTCTTCGATGGAGCCGGGTTGCCCAAGTCTATTCTGCCACGCCTAGGACTTTGTGTGTTTTAACGAATGGAATATTACCATCCAATTGACAGCTTGACCCTGAAAATGACAATTTTGTACATTTTTTTTGTAGAAACTAATCTTCCAACCTAAATTAATTTGCTGGAGGGTAATGGGGACATATGATGTAATTGGATATGATGTGGGATATGCCGGAATATAGATCACCATTAATCTAATCTGACATTTGCGCGTGCGTCAACGAAAAGGGATTTACCACCAATTTAAGGATATTTAAGGTATTTATCCTAAATTATCACATAACATGAATATCATCCTTCACTGTCCATGGCGAACTATATGCAGCACATCTGGCGCACTTCGAACCGGGGCCAAAAGGTCGTAGTGTTCGAACCGGGGCCAAAGATCAAGCCACAGGGCTTAATTGGATGTAATGGATTTAATGGGATGTAGTGACCCAGCTATCTGGATATATGATACTGGTTGGTGGTTTCAAACATTTTTAATTTTCAATTTCATATATGGGATGTCATCCTTCCCATTGACGAACTCACATTTTTCAAGATGGTTAAAACCCACCAACCAGGTAAGTTAATCACTATTAATCACCATTAATCACCATTAATACACTATTCATCACCATTTTCATACACCATTAATCCCATGAATGCCATTAAAATTACGAATTGGTATCATTATGGGATTAGGAATGCGACGGAATGGGATGATCAAATCCACTTAGACGTCCTGGAACCCACAACGATTGAAGAAAAATCGATAGTTTCCATCGAAAACCAAACTTTATTGGTAGATGATACCCAATCCCTATGGATCCAAGTACCTTAGGAAGTGTTTGGGGTATAATTTGGAGGGTTAAGTACCTTCTCAGACAGTGTTTGGATCCATAGGGAATCATGAAAACCAGTCACTCGCTGCGCGACCTGGACAACGGGAATACCTACGAAGGAACCATATTTTTTTTCTGCGAGAGATCCTGTTGAGACTTCCCGAAACGGCTGGTTGAGGGGACCCCATGATTCCGAATCATCGGGCCCATAACTCTCCGGGAAAGTAACAGTCAAATAGAGGTTTCCTAAAATGGAGGTATCGCAAATCATCCATTTATAGATGGATTTTCCATGATTTTCCATTCACCATCCATTTTTTGGGTATCCCCATGGCAATGGAAACCAGAAAAATAGGGAAAATCCATGAACATACCATTTTTTGATCATTTTCTTTGGCATTCTTTGCATCCCAGTCATCAGAAGTGGATCATAGCTCATTAATATAAGCCATGAATACAACTGGATATAACTGGATATATTCCATGAATCGAACTGGGCTAGTTACTAGTAGTTCAGATGGCAGTTACCCACTTTGTGCGCTCACCTACTCAATGTTTTTTTGTATTCAAATATATCTAAATATATTTTATTATATTTTAATATGTTACAGCAATGTCACCACAATCATAAATTGTAGCCACAACAACCATCAAAACGATTCCCGGCCCCCAGACACCTCCAAAGTGTCACTGATGGCAGGTCTGCAACCTCTGTGATGGCTTTGTCAACTTCGTCTATGCTGGCGACTCGCTAGGCCGTTGGTGACTCCCAGATATGGAACGGACAATGGGTGAAACTCCACTTGGAAGAGGCGTTGAAATTCCACTAGTAACTCCACTTGGCGAGAGAATATGGTTCCGCCAACAACTAAAACAATTGGAGGCCGAAGATGTTCAACACATTTCAACACCATGGCTTCTCTATCGGAACGGACCACACTTGAGAGATAGTTTTTTTGGGGACTCGAGGCTCAAGTCAGTTGAGGTGTGCGCTTCGGCGCGCTTCAGAAGCACAAAGAGTTGCTGGAGAGGCAGCAGTTTGGGGCGCCGCCGTTGGGCAAACCTGGAGTTGCTGAGTCGATGATGTTTTTTTCCCCAATGGGAAATCTTCGGAAATCCACTTAACTGGGGGAATCTTTTCGGGAACATTTCGTTATTTTTTTTGGGGCTTTCGGATCAGCAACTCCGATTGAATTTGGCTTGTACTATCCAGCTAGAACCTGGGAGTCCACGGTCGTCGTCGGCCTAAGATTTCTGGTCCATGCTTTGGTTTGTCGTTTCATGTCGTTTCACATAATTCTTATTTCAGTGCCACCCGCGATGGCGATCGCAAGCGGACAATCACAGTAAGTACAATTTTTTTTGGATAGGTTGAAACGCATCCTTCACTAACAAAGAAGGACATCACCAACAAAGATGGGAATCGACAACAAAGCAGTGGGTAAGTGGGTAGGTCGGGTAGGTCGGATAGTGTGTGCTAAAAACGTTCCGAAGCATCCACCATCATGGAACCCCTGGTTTTTCCCAATTTTTATGATGGTATCCCTGGGGTTCCATGATGGTATCCCTGGTTTTTATGATTTATACCATCAGGATATCAGGGATATCATCATATCAATTTTTACTTTTATGGTTTTTATGGGCCCAGATGATATCCCTGACGAGAAGTGTTCTGATTCAGTGACGGCCACGGCCACGGGCTGAGCGGCTGGGCCGAAGAACCGCCAGGCACGGTGCTGGTCGATATGCTGAAGGCGGAGAGGAAGGTATGTCAAAGGCTCAGCACACCGTGGAGACATTGAGAAAGACTTTCTCGTACTGAGTATGTGTCTAGATGACTGGGGTCATAATTTATATAATTAACTATAGGGCTTTAAAAATAATTAGTTCATAATTGGTTATACAATATAGTGGGTTTATGGTAGACATATATCAATTAGTTCAGGGGTTGATAAATCAACTGACAACTAAGGCGCCCGACCTTGGTAGATGATATCTATTCATCCATCGTTATATGCATACAACAGATGCGCACGATGTACTTATGCATTTGAGAATCTAATTGTGAGATTCTGTGAGATCGACATTTACTTGTGGATTGCATTGGTTAGCTGCCTGACCTCACGTTATGTCATTTTCCCCTCCTTTTTTGTGGTCAAAATTGTCATACTCTTAGCATCTGCTACGTACAGATGCGGTTCACCACGGGGATGGTGCGTCGATTCGCCACGGTCGCCATCGGTCCCCCTTGTTATTTGAACGGCGGCAAGGTCCACAGTGGTGGTCATTCAAGATGGTCAGGTGTGGCACTTCGGATGGCTTGGCTCAGCTCAGATACTGGGCATGGTAGATGACTGGATGATCAACTTGATTAAAACATTCGGAAGGCGATTTTTGGGCTTGAAAGCCATTTAACCCTGGATTTCAACACACAACGGTTATACGGTTATTGTTACCCAACAACTAAGTGGTGGGACCATCCAGGGCAACCAGTGGGTGATCCCCAGGGAGGACGCCTGATGTGGTACAATCACTGCACGTTGATCATTTGGCATTTTCAGAGATCAAACCATCCATTCTGCCAGATTTTTTTCACAGTTTTGATTGATACAATCGATGCAATGATGTCAAATCCAACCTCTTCATGGCAAATCAAATTTTTGATAAGATAATTTGTTTCGCTACTCATAGTTAAATCTCCGTTTTCTGAGAGCAAAACCCCACTTTCATAAATTTTCTTGATAGTTAGATAAATAGTTGAATTTCCTCATATATATATATAGTTATAAAATGTTAATAGATAGTTAATCTTAGTTATATAGAATATATAGTTATACTGATACAAATC